CTCCCAAATAAATTCATATAGGACTATAGGCAAAGCCACTTAATACCAAAAAAAAAGGGCCTCAACTTAAAATTATGGAAAGAAAAGCACTGGGGTGGGGAATGCTGCAGTATGCAATATTTTATAAGAAATCATTTTATAAACAGTTTAAATGATGAGACTGTGTTTGTACTGCTCAGCACTTTTTTCTACATATTTAAGGTGAAATGTGCAAGTGTGGCCAGGAACTGTTTTATGAAAGAAATTGAAGTTCTAGAAGAAATTGAAGACAATGAAAACATTACCAACGTTGTACAACAGATCCAGAGAAACTTCCACAATTGTTGGGTAAGTGTAGATAAAATTACAAGTTTTTTTTAAAGCTGAGATACACAAAAATATCACATGTTGACTAGCAGCCTGTGTAGCAGATCTGATCCCAATTTATTTCCCATTTAATCTATTTACCCTTGGAGCACTTGACAAGTTCACTTTTTTGGACTGCATTACCATTTTATGCATTCAGTACAATTGAAGTGTTTCAGATTTTCTAGGGATTCCACTGATGGGAATCCCTAGAGTGTCATTATAGAAATCAATGATCCAGTTTATACATAAAAATCAAATATGGGTTAAAGAACCCATGATTCATAAAGAACACACGAAGCTACATGAAAATAAGCAACTGTGCTGCCTCATGACCACACCCTGATTCTACTCTGTTTCCAGAATATAAAACAACCCTGAAGCTACCAGGCTGTACTCTATGACATGTGACCTCAGAACTCATCCTTAACCCAGAGTTCCAGGTTCACACATCACAGACACATAATCCAGAAAGCAGGCAGAAGTGGTCAGCGGTTGGGAGGCAGGCTGCTTGTTCTTGCATAGCCTTGACAACCCATCAGCTGTTGCTACATCAGAAAGAGGTCAGTATAGTGTATTTCCTTCTCTGCAGTTTATATCAGCTTTTCTCAATCTGAGGCACTTCAGACAGTCTGCATTAGAGCTCCAATAATCTGACAATTACCAATGCTACCCGGAGCTGGAGAGAGCTGAAGTTGCACAACTGCAATACTTGACAGTACACAACTGTGAGGATTTGAAGCCTCAGCTAGGATAATGTTCAGATTTCACAAGGCAAGCTATCAAGAGAAACCAAAGTGTAAGGAATCTTTTATTCCAAAAATAATGATCTTTGAGATTGATATGCTGTTCACAGCAAAGCTCTCTTTCTTGACCCCCTCTCACACTTAATTTCCACCAAAGTGAACAGACTGCACAGAATCCCAAGCTTCTAGATGCTAAGGAAAGTGCAGGGGGAAAAAGAAGCTTTGATCACTTGCTATCAACACTGAGTCCCTTTGAAATGGAGGTTTTGACTGAGAAGTGGGTAGTTTTGGACTGAGGCCTAAACAAGCAATCATAAGCTACCAAAGAGGGAGATCATGATCCTACTTAATACAATTTTATTTTTTTAAAGATGATTTTCCAAAAGAACTAGAAACCTGGTAAGGGAATTGGGGTTTCCCCTCTCAATGCTCAGAAGCCACTGTATTGAAATAACCAATTCAAGTCAGGAGTAAATTATCTTTATCTATCTTTCTCTATTAATTAAGGAAGCAATAATTCATAGAAAAGTAGAGATAAGCTCTCTACGTTTTGAGCTCAATTATCTGTGCAAGCCATGATGAGGACAGGAGACAGAATGTTTATCCTGTTCTACAGGTTGCTATGTGAGAACCACATTCTGCAAACTGCCATGCTTGCCTCACTTTTTCTTTCTTTCTTTCTTTCTTTCTTTCTTTCTTTCTTTCTTTCTTTCTTTTTTGGCTTAAGATTACTTGCTGAGAATGTAAATACGGTGCATAAATACAATACTTAAACTATCTTCCTTCTTTTTCCTTTAAAATAGTTTTTTTAATTACAAGTTTCAAAAACCTTTTTTATTGCAGGAAAGACTTGAAGATACAATAAAAGAGAATGGATGTGCCACATGTGATTCATATGAAAGTCAAACCTCAGAAGTATTTTTAAAGCAAATGATTACATTTGTGCAGAATGCTTTCCTCTTTGAACACTAGCCTCTTCTATCAAAAATTGTATACTCCCAATTATTTAAAATATAATATCTTTTATATACACCTGAATTATGTTTGCTTTCACTTGATTTACAGCTTAGCATATCACAACATTTAACCATTCATTAATCTTCTAGTTTACAATTATAGTTAATCTTGTCATCTGAAGGCTCCCAACTTTGTTTTTACAATTATATTTCATATAAACATACAGAACAAATGAAAAATAGCAATTTAATTGACAATTCTATTCATAATTACATTAGCTCATTACCTTACTTGAATGAATTCCCTAGGCTGAGCTGCATTTAAACATGCATTCCCTAACAGCTGCTGGTAATTTAGCTTCTTTAGCGATATATTGGCTTTGTTCATACACAACAATATGCCAGAATAACTGCCTACCAGTTGTCAATGAACCACAGGTTATGTATAAACCCTGCATGATTAAGAACCCATGTTTAACAATCACAAACAATTCAGGAAGATAGCCCATACACTGGATTGTCACTGAGTACACATCAGGTCATTGTATTTATGAAACCACCAAAAACAAGGCAGGTATCTAAAGCAAAGGGGACTGCAGGTGGCGCAGTGGTTTAAACAGCTGAGCTGCTGGGCTGGTAGATCGAAAGGTCGTCGGTTCGAATCTGCACAATGGGGTGAATTCCCGTTGCTCCGTCCCAGCTCCTGCCAACCTTGCAGTTCAAAAGCATGCAAATGCAAGTAGATAAAAAGGTACCACTTCAGTGGGCAGGTGTTGCATGCACTTCGGTGTTTAGTCATGCCAGCCACATGACCATGGAGACTGTCTGCAGACAAACACTGGCTCCCTCAGTTAGGAAACGGAGGTAAGCACTGTCCCCTAGAGGCAGGCATGACTGGACGTAACGTCAAGGGGAAACCTTTACCTTTTTACCTTTATCTAAAGCAAAATATACCAAGGAGCCTTTAAAAATGCCGAAAGCCTTGATTACAATGAGTAAAACTTTTCTTCAAGTGATTTACAGTTTCAATAAGTTTTCCATATAGTAGGAGAGACAGCTCTTTCAAGGGCAAAACTTATCTGGGCCAAGGAGAATTCATTGAGCAGATTCTCTGAATTCCAGTGCTGGCAACGAATTCAGCAGTCAGTCAGTATTTTTATTTTTACTTGAGTTCTTTGCAACTGGATTACAACATTAAAGTGTAGAACAGAGGATAACAGAAAGAGGAGCATGAAATACAAAATATTGGCTGAGTTCTTTCCCATGTTTTCTATAATGATTCCAAATAGTGCTGAGCAGAGGCTGACTGGGTTCACACAATATGTTAAGCTATGATAGTTTAAAAGTCTCAGAGGTGTAGCATGTTGTTTGAACCCAGGACTCTCCCCATAGGGTGATTTACAAAGTACCCAAGGCTTGTATTGAGGTTGTATAAATCCACCATGGCTTATTGTATTGTCTGAACATGAAGAACAAAGCAAACCCTCGTCAAGATAGAGGGGCCTCTTGCAAGAGTGGCAGAAAGGCATGTCACTCTGGCCACACAGGTAGCAGAGGACCATCTTCCTTAGGCACCCCAAAGTGCCAAAGCAGCACCTGGAAAGAGCTAAGAAAGGCTTCCCCTCCCTGCCAGCAGTGGAAATATGGTTCAAAACCTGGGGGCACACCTTTGAGAGGAAAGAGACTTGAGAGGAGGGGAGGTAACAGAGTAGGAGGGATCTCCAGTTTTCCTGTCACCCAGAAGGACCAGCAGTAAATGTCAGCTGTGCCAGGTGAAGAGGGGAAATGAACCATCCAGTGCTGGCATTCCAAGGGTAGTGCTACATGGCACATTCCTTCCCATTGCCTGTCCTGTGTCTCCTTCCCAAGTCTCAATTTGAGAAGGGACATATGGAAGACACTAGTTTACCCTCCTCCCCTTGGCTGGTATAGTGCCTGATGGTGGTGTGCTGGGGCACCCCATACAGCCAGACCTTCTCCCCAGAAAACAAGCCAAATGAACGCCCTCCCACAAAATCCTATTTTCTCCCAGTCTGATTTGGGCTGAGAATGGGATCTATTTTGCTTTTTAGCATCTGTTTCCCCCACTATTCAGCTGAGTAGTACAGAAAGGACACAGGCCACCTCCCTGCTGCTCAGCTTCAGAGCCCAGTGAGAGGTCACCCATGCCCACTCCTTGCTGCTCAGCTGTAGCATGCAAGAGGTGAGTACCTGGGAAGGAAGACCTAGCTTGCACTAGATTTTCAAACACAGGACAAGGTGGGCCTTCCCTTCTCATCCCTCCCACTCCAGGATTCCCACCCCATCCTTCTCTATCAGGAGAGCAGGACTGCTCATAATCAATCCCACTACTGACATCAGCATGAGGAGGGGCACACATAGATGTTCCTGCAAAGTTCTCTACAAATACTGCAGAAAGGCTGGGGAAGTAGTGGGGAGGAGGGAGAGAAAGGAAAGAAAAAGGACACAATCTTTATGACTGCCTGTCAGGCACAGGGGAATTTCACCTGCAGTGAAACTACTAGAAGGATTGCTAAGCCATGTAAATATTCTCATTTTCAACTGAATCCTTTGAAACTGGCTATAATTTGCTACTGCTAGTTGTTGCATTATACGCATAGGCAAAGGCTCTTCAACTTGAAACATAAGACAGGGTTTCTCAAATATACTCCTTTAAAAAAAAACAACAACCAGCAACGGCTTTAAAGTCTTCCAACATCCAATGTATACATATGACAAACATTTTTTCCTAAACAGGCACTTAAAAAATATAATGGGTAGGAGGGAAATAACAGTCGCTCAAGTATTTTTCCCCTCGACTGAATTAAGCTACCCTTGTATGAATAATATCTGGACAGATGTCAACCTTTCAGATATATTCCTTACAAAGAATATGGATGCTAGGCAAATACATTTAACACTGAAGGGTTATAGGAAAAGTGAAATGACATACCTGCGTCTTCACAGAAAAATATTTTTCTTGCTCTTTATATGCTTTCTTTTCTAAAATCTTCCCTTTTAATAAGCATTTGTCCTTTACATTCAGATAAATTCTTTACACTATGTGAGCATGCATGCACGAAGAAACCTTCTGCAAATTCAAACATGTTTTTCACCAAGCTCAACTGTTTGAGACAAAGTTAATGGGCTTACACGTAATCTATCTCCCACAATCTTGCAACTCTACCATGTGACTTCCAACTTATTCTTCCTGCTGCTTCTCTGATAAGAGGTAAACTTTCTCTGCCACAATGAAGGGACACAGCATACTTGCTACTCAAATGTTTTGCACTATGGACAGATTTTCCATGATTCATTATTTGAATCAGCCTTTATAAAGCAAGATAAGCAAGATGTTGGAAGAGACTAGGAAACATACTTTTATAATGTAATTTCTTATCAAGTTATTCTATGTGTACCTGACTGAAATTCCACTTCACAACAGTTGAATCCTGAAAGTTATCACTGTATGGAAAACCAATTAATATAAACAGACTTAAAGCATTAAGCCATCTTTTAACATGACAAGCAACAGCATGCTTACGACAGAAGTTAAACTAACGAAAGCGACACTGGTATAATTTTCTTTGATGTGTGCTACTCTGTGGGTAGAAGATTAAAAGACTCATACACCTTGAAGTAGTAAGAAAATGTAAAAGCAACGCTATTATCTAGAAAGAGATGAACAGTATGTTAATTATAAGCCATTTGCCTATATATTTATTACCTCAAGTTACCTCATCAAAAGGCTTGAAAGATACAATTGGTCTACACAGAGAAGGCTGCAGCTCAGTGGACTTGTATATGCTTTAGAATTTAAGATCCTATCTCTACCACTTATTTTACTAGTTAAGGAATCTGACGGACAGATTTAAAAAACCCACCACCACATATAATTGGTCACTGGAAGAGCTATTTCTATGGTAGTACTCAAAATCTACTTTTAGCATCCATTTCTCAAATTATGTTCAGTCATCTGCCTTTGCAGATCTACTGTGACAAAAGTCCTGGTATGAAGATAATGTATGCAACTGAGACAGTTCATAGGATGCAGTAGTTTGTGGTAAAGTGCTTTAAAGTGTTGATCCCACTGTACAAATAATCAGATAACTGCATTAATTTCATAAAAGTACTACAGTGCTTAAAACTCTGATGAAACTGGAAAACGTCTTCATCCTACTCTGTGCAGCTGGCATTAACCCAAATGAACAGTATAAGGAATATCTGGACTAATACAAGGTACTTCTTTATTCCTGTACTGACCAAAAGGTTACCATTTTGACACTTGTGTAGCCTGGAATGCAATCCTTAACTGAAAGAATGTCTGGATGGGCAAAGGATAATTCAGATTCCCAGACAGGAAAAGGGAATCTATGTTCTAATCCCACTCTCCCCTTTCATAAATGACATGAAAAGAATGTCAGCTTCCTCTTTGAGGCACTGAAAATTATTCTGGATAAATTGATGAAAAGCATGAATAAAGTTAAATTCCTTAACCACAAACAGAAGAACAAGTCCTGCTGAAAAGAATGAACTGGCTTCTGGAGAGATTGGAGAGATATTGGGGTTCAGTGCCATCAGTTTGTTGGTGACACAGAAGTCACTCTTTTCATCCAAACCCAAGGAAGACATTCTGGTTTTAATTAAGTGTCTATCAGAAATGGGCCGGATGATGGCAAACAAGCTGACAATTGCAACAAGACAGAGGAGCTTGTTCTTAGTCTGATAAGGTAACAGGGATTCAACCTGTATGGAACTTAACTTTGAATTTTATCTTAAACCTGAGTGTTCACATTTTGGCTGTGCAAAAAGCTTATCTGCATAGCTCTGGCTAATGGACCACCCATACCCATTCCTAAAATTCTCTGATCTAGCTATGATCATGGATGCTTGTAATTATATGCCATTTCTGCTACTGTAACATGCTTACACAGATCTGCCTTCAGTAACTTCAGCTTCACTATGATCAGTCTGTTTCCAGAAAGGACTGAAAGTGCGAGTTATGACCTATTAAATACCATACAGATTGGAATTAGGCTCCCTGGAGTCTGCCCAGATCTTAAGATCTGAGCAAAGGCCTTTTTAAGACCACTGTCTTAAATGGTACACAAAAGAGAAGATTCAAAAGACCATCTTCATGACTATTCTTAGGATGTGGAACTCATGTGAAGGAAAACTTGGTTCACGTCCTCTCATCTTTCTACCAGCAGGCAAAGTCCTTTTTACTCAAGTTTGATATATAACCAAGTTTATGATGGTAAGCATTCTTGCAAGCCATTTTTGGTAGAAAGGGTGAGAAATTAAACCTATGAACAGTCAGAGAAACTGAAAGCCCAGAGCTTTCTAGAACAGAGTTGGAAGTTAGCCTGGACCAAGTTATTTATATGAAATGAATAATGTAAATAATTGTCTATGTTTGATTAGAAGGTAACTTCATCTTTATGAAAATGGAAGTGTAGGTTTATCATGCTTATACTAACAATTCATTTTAACTACTCTTTTAAGTTAGAAATTTAGTTGTTTTGAAAAATATTAATCTAAAATATTTAAACCATTTTAAATGATGTATGCATGTCTCAAAAAGATCAAATTATGAAAAACTATTTGTAACACTGAAAAGCATTATGTTTGATGTTTAAAACAGTCTTTAAGATGATTAGCACAGAGTTGGAAAAGATGCAGAAAGGGCAACAAAATGATAAGGCCAGATTAACCACTGAGAAAAGGATGCAACTGTTCTTTTTATAGTTTAGGAAGTAGGCAGGCAAGGGTGGGGACATTACAGAGGTACATGAATGATGCATTGTGTGAACAAAGTGGATGATGGTCCCCTCCTTTACATTTTCATATTACTAGAATCTAGGGTCATCCAATGAAGAAAAATGGAGGATTCAGGAAGAATACTGTACACAACTCACTACTGTGACTACCAATTTAAGACAGCATTAAAAAGTGATTAGAACAAGAAGGTATCAATTACTAAAACTCATGTAGGTTTTATCTTTAAGATCAGAGACAATGATCTGATTTACACATAATGCTAATCCACAATTACTTAACTCACATTTTACCACTGATTTTGTTGCTGTACTCAGGATCTGCCTGGGAGATAACTGTGCTTTGTTTTCTCAATCCCTGGGTTTTTTGTTTTCTGCTTTCTTTGCCTATGGTCTCTGCCTTTGAATCCAAATGCATGTGCAGTATTGAGGTATAGGCATGGGTGGGGGTGTGTGTGTGTGTGTGTTAATCACACTTATCTGATAGACTGACAAAATGACCCTTAAAGTCACATGCCAACAACCCAGGGTTTTAAAAACCCTGGGTTTACAACCCAAGAACAAACCATGGATGCTGAGTTATTCGTTAACAACCTATAGTTTGTGAGCACAGCTGGATGGGGTGAGTCCCACAGCACAATACAGAATTCAACAGCCAATAGATTAAGTATTGTGTGTGTACAAGTCATTGTTTTGCATAGGCCACCTACCATGTATTAAATAGTCTACGGTGAGGCTCTGGTGCAAGCAACCATCATTTTGAGCACTCAACCCCCAATGAGTGCCATAGTTTCCCATATGTTGACCCACTATTAGATGCACCTTGGCAACCAAACTTGGTAACTATGTCTTTAATAACAATAGCTGAGAAATGGTAGAACATGATTCTTGCCTTCTTGTGGACATGAGGTATCAAAATGACTACTGCTGGAAAACATGCTTGACTGGCTTGGTCTTTGTTGTGATCCAGCTGATACTTATGAGATGGGAGAAAAGTTGGTTTTCTTCTAAAATAGGAGCTCCTTGCATAGATGAAGTCTTTTGACAATACAAATGAGGATTACCAAATAAGATGTTCAAAACCAATGCCTTGTGAAACAGAAGTTTTAGTAAGTTTAAGCTGGGTTTAACATAGACATTAAAAAAGAAAAAGGGCTGATAGTTTCAACAGTAATGTTTAATTGAAAACAGGCTTTCATTGACAGCATATCAAGAAAAGTTGTATTCAAGAATATTAAGTGTTCCTTCAGCTTTCCTTCTTGGTAGTTCTTTTGTATTCTCTCCATGTACGAGCATCCCTGGAATGTTTCCTGCTCCTACTGGCAGCAGGAGTAAACAACAAGCATGAACGAGCATGTTTGCTCTTTCAGAACAATCCTGGATTAAAAAGAACCTGGGTTTGTAGTTATATTAGCATTAGTAACAATTAGAATTAGGTCAAGTACACACTAATTACTAAGAAAAGATAATTTTAAATTAGTTATCTACACAAGTCTCTGCTAGCCAAATTCAAACACAGCAAGCCTAATCAAGAAATCAAAATTAACAGTATAGGTCAGTCTGATCTACAATAGCTGAGGGTTGCTTTATACATGATGGTAACCAAGAAAATGCATGAATGACTATAGTGGCACCTCAAGGTATAGATGTTGCTTACTGTATGGCAACACCTCATGCTGTTACTTGCAGCCACCTTGAAAGTTTTCCAAGTAGCATGGTGATGTTGATCTAGTGAACTATACATAAAAGAAAACAGATCCACATTTTATGTGCTTTCAGTCTCCATGCAACTGCCATTAATTATGGAACACACCTCACACTGATTCAAAAATGTAGTTTGTCAGAATCAGTAAAAATGTTTTAATCTCCACAGAAACATTTTCAGACTTTTCATATGAAGTTTGTGACAGGACTAGGACAGCAGGCCAAATTAACTCAAATTTCAGTATCTATTCAACCATTTATTTCTTTACTTTCTACCTTGACACTGTCTGGAACTTTTGTGAATTAGGGACATCAAGCTTCTTCAATAGAGTATCATACATAACCTCAGAGTATCAACAGAGTATTATACATAACTGGACAAACCAAGCTTTTTTTTTAGAAAAAAGTATATGACTATGGCAGGCCTAATGCCTGTTTTCACCCAAATCCTTTGCATTTACAAAAGGTTAAATCACAATAACATTTACGGCATCTGATACTATTTCCAAGTTGTTCCCTCATGCAAACAAAACACAAGATCTCAACTTTTTCAAGTTCCATAATTTGTAATCAATTGATCAAATATCTGGTTCAAGAAATGTCAGTGGCAAGAATGCCAAAAAAATATATATATATATTTTCTGGCAAGAGACAATCTTTTGCCTCTTGTGAGAACTGTAATTTGAATGGTTTCTTGCAATGTTACAATTTAAGTGCCAAAACTGAAAAGGCATATTTAACCCACAGTTTAAGGTGATTAACAAGAAAAACTTAATCATCCTAAATAAACTGTTAAATTCAGAACAGGACCTAATGTTTTGAAAAAGCATTGTGGCTTGTATTACAATTATATAATGTATTACTGATCACAGCAAAACTGTCACACCAGTCTTTTCTTATACACGTTCATTTATTATGAAATAGCATAACCAAAGTATCAGATAAACCATTTAAAGATTCATTACCAAAATACAAAATGCAAAAGCTACTTTGTATCAGTTATCTTTATCCTGGAAAAAAAGTCTTTGAAATAAAAATCATCTACATATTTCAACAAATTACCTTATTTATTTGGCTTATACTTAAGCACAATTCTACCAGCTATCAATTGACGCTACGGAAACAACACTGATCTACAGGTATTAACCAATTAAACAGTCTACTCCAAGAAAGAACCTACTTCAACAGATCAAAAATAAATACATTAACTTTTACATACTGAAATGTTCAATACGTGGAGACTTTACAATCCAAGACCCATAACCATGCTGCTCCAAGTAAGTTTTCAGCAAATGTTTTGCTTCTTGGTAAGTCTCAGCCATAATCTAAATTTTAAAAGTTAAGAGTTAATAATTTAATGCTGAGGGATTTGTACAGAAATCCTGCAAATGAACAATTTCAAATAACATAATTTCTTAATAAATTAGTGGGTGGGTGGATATATCTCATTACATTTTATTTAGAAAGCCTACACACACATTAGGCAGATTGTAAATGCAATTACATTTGAAGCAGCCTATCTATAATCAAATAAATGCCTGACTTGTGTAACTCCTCTCAGATTCTCAGGGTATTTTACAAAACTGTAAACATAAGCATAAGGTACATTTCAGAAAACTATGAAAGCATAAGAAAATGACAGCAGGGTTAACATTGCATCTTAGTTTAGAAAGATAAGGCCTTTGCCTGGCATGGAAAGGACAATAAGGGCATCAGCAAATCCCGCTTGGGAGTGTTACACAATTAGGGTTTTGTCCAGAACAGGGAAAATATCACTCACTGGGACAGCTGAACCACCTACCAACAGAACCCCCATCTTATCTGAATTAAGTCTCAATTTGTTGGCCTTCATCTAGACCATCACACCAGCCAGACACTGAGTCACCACCTCACCTGGATTACATGTAAAGGAGAGGTTAAACTGGGTGTCATCAGCATACTGGTGTCACCTCAGCCCAAACCTCTGGATGACCTTTCCCAGAGATTTTATGATGAAGCAAGCTACTTATGCACATAGAGATGCAGGTTCCCTTACTAGTATTAAAACTATAATGTTAATCCAATTCTAAACTCACTATGAACTTAACGCTAAACTAAAACTGTGGCCTTCCCATCGATATTCAGTATTACAGTAGAAACAGCATGCAGCACTAGGCTGGTCTTTGGTATGATTCAGAAACAGCTCTTTAAGTTATTAGAATTCAAGAAACACTTGCTTTTAGCAAGTTGCCATTCAGCAAGTCTTACCTTTGCTTCATGGTATGTTCCTGCTTTAAGTAAGTCATCTCTCTTTGATTCTTTAACCACCAAGTTAAAACGACTTAACATTGCAGCTTTGCAAAGTCGACTTGCCATTGAAATGCCACTTTTAAAGGGTGAACTAGGTATGAATGAGGAACACACTCTGAGTATACTTATTACAGAAGATTTATTGAACCTTAACCTGTGAAGTTATAAGCTAAAGTAACTGTGTATACTACAATTTCACCTTTCCTATCTGAACACCGTGCAATGATGAACTTTAAAATAAGTGAGCTAGTTTAACTATTTTATGCAATAGAAATAATTATACCTTTTAAAAGGGTTTAATAGAATATAGAAACCGCAAAGAGCAGCCTATATTTCACAGTCATTCTGAAAGATAACAGTTTTTAATGCACAGCAAATTACTATTACTTCCCAGGTACATGACAACATAGTCCTAATATCATGCACATATTATCCTTATTTTTAATCAAGTTAAACACAGTATTTCTTTAATTTTAATGTGCTTTGTTATTAACATTTACCTTTCAGTAGTCTTTCCACTTAGCCCATCTACCACCTCCAAAGCCAAGTCTCCTTGGGACCAATTCACACTAAGATATCTGTGTTCCAAATCTATCTGTACAGGGTAAGCAGTGGTTACTAAGCTGATGTGAGGTCTGTTCACCAGGTAGAACATGGGCAGTTTTGAAGTGAATGCATCATCAACACGTTGTTTGATAGCAATTTCTAATCCTCGTGTATCCTGGCAGTTCCCATCCCCTAAAAAATATTAAAAGCCACATAAACACTTTAAAAAATCCACCCAAGATTTTGATCTACTAAGATGAACCATTACAATTTTCATACTAGGCTCTACTCCATAAAACATTAGGTATCAGAACTTAAAATGAGACATGCATGCAATAATGTGTGAAGATGTAGAAACCCAAACAATGGGAAAAGAGCCAAGTTTTATTATATTCCATTCCTGATTTGCATTTATACATGGGGGCAGGTATTCACTATACATGAAGTAGCATAAGCTGATTGCAGCTTCTTTGTGTGCTTAGATATACATCTACCCCTTGAACAAGTATATGCCGTTATGTTCACCAGGTAAGACTTAAAGGTTAAAACTAGTCATAATTGGGGAAAAAGCTTACAAAATATAATACTAAAATGCATGCAATCAGCTTAAATACCTTATTTACTTATATAATCTACCTGGTTTTCTAAAGTTATAGTTCATGTCTGAGCAGCTTTCAAGTAAAATATGTTATTATGGACAACTTAACAATCCACTATATCCATCCTAAAATATGATATATATAACTTGGTGATGCATTTTAACAGTACTGAACAGCTGGATTAGAAGTCACTCACCAAGAATGATGCCACTAACATAAACTGGCTGAATGAAGTGACTCAGCAAGGCTCCCTGAACACCCAGAACTTCCCATCTCGTCAGTTTATCACTGGCAGACATGCTGGTTACTCTAGCAATTTCAGTAGGGCAACAGATTGTGAGGTACGTCTTGCCTTCAACAACGACATGAAGACAGAGTTCTTCATCAGCTTCAAATGCAGATATAGAATTTGGATTGAGACGTCTACAATAGAAAATATAGTCATTAAAAGCAAAGGAAACCTCTGTGACTTAAGATACTGGAGCACTATGCAAACACAAGCTTCAGCCCCCATCTGCTGTACTATTTCTGGTCAACAACCAAATGCATTTGCTAACCCTCTTAACCATGGTAAGAAAAACCCAATTCCCCTTTCCCATCCACATGCAGAAGAGTAGGCAGGAAAGTGATGCCCTACCTTTCCAGGGTCAGGTCTCCTCAATGGGAAATTCTACTACATACTGTAGGGCCTGAACAGTGAATATGAAGACAAAAGAACCCTATAGTAATTGAGAAGCCTAAGAATTACTATAAAAGTGCTGAGGTGGCAGCTGGCTCCTAGGCAACTGTGTAGATTCCTACTGGAAATGATAAGTTATACCTATACATTGTTTCTTTGACCTGGATGAAAGCTGTAAAGAATACTAGCAATGTAAAAATATACTTCAATACCTTAGATTCCAAGGAAATCAACCCAAGCTATGAAGAACTGTGAGAATTCTTGGGACTAATGTCAGCTTAAGAGAATTGTAGTGACAGTTACTCTGACTGGATAAAAACAGCAGGAACTTACTGACACAGCCTGATGGGTCCCTATTACAATTATACTAAGCCACTCAGGAACTTGTTAGGCTTTTTTTAGGTCAAAGAAAGCCCTCAGAAGCTTTTCTTTACAAAACTGAAGAAAAAAACAGAGTGCTACTGGAAAAGGGGAAATTCGGCTATTCTGACAATTCTTGGCTACATTCCCAGATCTTGAAAATTCTATTAAATTATCCATGGTATTACTGTGAAAGTTGAGACCTAACATTTTCTGCTTGTCACAGGGGCCTTGAGGGATGCTTCTCTATCAGCTGACATCACAGCCATGACACAAAGGCACCACTTACACATTTGAATGTTGCACTGTATCTCACCTACAGGATAGTAATGTATTCCATAATCTTAACTGCAAAAGAATGATGATTGACCAGGGTTGGCATACAGCCCACTCAATCTGTACCAAATGATCAAGAATAGGAAGGCAACCACAGCTTCTTAGTCAGTCCTTGGAAAAAAGCAATCTGTAAAGGTGATCTAAGCTATCAGTAAAGTACTAATTAAGCCAACCAACACCGAAAAAGCAAGATACATTTTTCATTGCTTCAACCTTTGTAAGTGAAAACTGGAGTAAAGTTTGAGTAGTTGTACTAACTTATCTCTAGGAAATGCCGTACCTCTTTTTTGGACAATTGGCCTCCCAATCATCATATAAGCCATTAAGGGCAAATTAAACAAAACCAGCAACACTCAACTTATTCTTTGAACACTTAATGGAATTATCCTATCCATATTTACACAAAAAAGCTGATAACCCCAGCACACGCTATTCAGCCACATAGGTCTTTTTCTGTTGAAACATGCATAAATTTATTACAGAATTTATTAAATTTATTACAGAAGATACTCATTAATATTTTATTTTATGGAAAGAACATTAGCCTGTATATGCCATAAAACACTATTGAAAAGAAAACATATTTGTATGACACATCAGTGTTGGAAGACTTACAGCTTGGACTTTATCTGAGCAGATCCTTTTGGCAACTGATTCATATAGAGGAATATATTTACATTTGGTTTTAGCATAAGCAAGTCTGATGTTGGTTCAGTACAAAATATAGATTTATCCATCATGGTAGGATTTTTACTGTAGTAGAGTAACAGCTGCCTATAAAAATACCTTTAAAGAAGCATTAATAATTGAAAAATTAGACATCAATTGTTTAAAACCTGAATTCAAACAAAGTCATTTTAAATTCATATGCATGCAACTCCAATTTTCCAAGGATCTTAATATGACTTGACAAGAAGCAGCACCTCTATACATATATTTCTTACCTAAGAAGAGAACGTCTTGCTGTAACGATAGCATGGCTATCATGCAATACTCTCCCATCAAGATGACCACACTGACTATAGTTGAATTCACCTGTTCCAATAGCTACTACCTCATGATGTCTAGCTGAGAGAAAAAAAGTAAAATATATAGTACACCTTTTCAGAATTCATCAGGATTTAACTTTCATTTGTATCCTGTACCCTATTTTTATCAATATTGCTCCAATAAATAAATATGCTCCCTTTATTTGATGGAGTATACTTACCTCTTTCAATTATGAAAGCAGCCAATGTACTGCTACAGCTTTGGTACTCAGGACATTTAGCTATCAAACCGCTGAATGTTTCCTTAACAACTTGAGAAATTTTTCCATATGCAAGATGCCGCCCTTCTAATGAAGTATTGAAAAACAAATCAGAGAAGAAAAATCAGAACTAGCTATTTAATATTGAAGAGATCATACAAGTAAGATTGCAAATGAACATTTGCTCTGCTTCATGTATAAGGAAAGCAACTTGGAAGAGGGAGCAAACTGAAAACTCAGCATATGCTCATCAGCTTCAAATACAGAATACACAAGCAAGCCTGTAATTAGAAATTATCTGAAATACATCTGAAACACACACTAGAGCTGGCTGGAAGACTGAGGGGGAAGAGTGGAAGAACAACCTACAGTAAGTCCCAGTTTGTCAGGCATACTGTGGATTTTTCTGCAGAGTAGCTCAGCAAGATATGCAAATTCACCCCACAAAAAATCTGAAAAGATGCACTGCTAGGGGAAAGAGGCAAACACATACTTTCATGAACTAAATCAATTACTACCTTATACAAGAATACAATTTGCATCAAGTATTTCATGTAGTACTTGGTTGTAATCTGCTAACAGTCAATACATGATTGTTGATTCTAATACACAGAAGGTGCCTTGGGCACCTGTATCACCCACTCCCCAGCTGAAAAGTAGAGTACAATTTTCTCAACACTAAGATGACAGAACCCCAGAGTTTTATACACATAATGCTGCAGAAGTATGCATACAGCCCTTTGATTTTTCTACACTTTCTTAAGTACCAAAATGGAATTGGAATGAATTCAGCTGGCATTATTACCACTTGATGTACACAAGATTCTCAACATTGAAGGTGCAAAATATTTGCACTGTGGTACAAACAAGTGTGACATGCCTAAATGAGTTCTAAATAAGTAATGGTTCCAGATGTCCTATTCTTACTGCAACCAATTCCACTAAGTCCATCCGTGTGCAGCTCTAGTGCCACATGATCTCAGATTAAATACACCTGTTTCTGGAAACCTGTTTGTTGAAGAAGCTATCTAAACATACAGTATTATGATAGCTCCTTGGCTATCAAAAGAGCTCCAAGTTAAAGTTGTACAGAAACACAAATGTTACACACACCCCAAGCTAAGAGCATTCCCCCAAGCACCACTGAATCCATTCCTATGGTTGGAAAGAATATGGTTTAACTAGAACCCTGCCTAGAAAAGGTCTCCACTAAAACCCTGACTGAGTAAGGAAGGCCTAGGTCTGAGAGGTAACCAAGAATCCAATAGGAACACTGAAGGAGCTGGAGATAACTACAGATGAGAAGGGAGAAATTGTTCATGCAATAACTATCACTAGGATGCTGCACAAAGCATCCTTGTGATTTTATGGAAGACTTGTGAAAGAAAAACCATTGCTGAAATAACCCCATACCAAAGCCCAGTTGGAGTTTGCAAAAAGGTATGTGGGACATGCAGCAGGCAGAAAAAGCTTCTCTGGTTTGAGAACAAGCATTAACTTTTTAGCCTTGTTGCAGAAAGCTATGCATAGTACAAAGCCAGCAGTGCTTGTTGTCCTGAGAACACCATCCCATCATGAGGCATGGTAGGGCAGCATGTTGTGTGGATGTTTTTCCTCAACAAGGACTGGGAAACTGTTCAGGACTGACAGCAAGATGGATAGAGCCAAATTTTAAGGCAACTGTAGATGAAAAACTTTAATTTTATTTTTTGAACATATACAAATACATAAAAAGTAGAATAGGAAAAAACTAGTATAAATAGAACTAAAGTGAACAAGATAGACAAAAGAGACAAGATTGCCAAGGGAATTTTAAACAGATACAGCCTATATTATACCCCTCACCCCCAAACTGACGTATCTTCCCAGGCTTTGAGAAAGAAAAGAAATTATACTGAAAAGAACTCATTCTATACATCAACAAATACTGCTTTTTTTCTTTTAACTCCCCTGAACTTCCATAAATCATGCTAAGATGAAAACCTGTTTCAGTCTGCAAGAGACCTAGGACTGAGGCACAGGTTCAACTTCTAGCAGGATACTAACCCTAAAAAAAACACAGCCAAAGTAACAATGGAATAGATTAAAAACAAGCAACTGGATGTCCAAGTGCCTTCCTATTCCAAGTCCATAGCACAATCCAATTGACAATCTCTAGCAAGACCTGAAAGTTGCTATTCACTAATGGTCTCCATCCACCCTAATAGAGCTGAAGCAGCTTTGCCAGGAAAAATGGGCAAATATTATGGGATCTAGGTGTGCAAAGCCGAAAGAAACTTACTTAAGACAACTCACAGCTGTCTTCTAACCCTAACCCAAGTACTAACTCAGGATGAATGCATATGAATACTTATGCAGCCAAGTATCAGTTTGTTTTTGTTTACTTAACTTTTGTGCCACAATAAAAAATTGACACCTTCACAGTATTGTCTTGCATATATCAGATAGTTTAAATGCCAATTAAATCCATTCAATTCAGTAACAATTTGTAACAAAAACTAGAAAGTAAAAAGTGGGAGAATACTCCTGCAAGGCACAGTATGGCATAAACCCACTGGTGTTCTAAAGTATTCCCTGTCTTCTGAAACTGGAAGACAGACAGCCTTCCCTACAGGGAACATCAGGGATTAACTCTTAATTCCATTTTAGGCTGACTTCCTGTTATTAGCGTTTCAGAATTCAAGATTCCCTGGCTATATACACAGAGCCAAACAGAAACTCCCTTACATCATACCAAATGTCCAGAAGTCATTCTGAATTTTTTAATTTTTGAAAAGCATTAATTTTAAATACAACTACTGGCTGCATGGATTCTGTATGACAGGTAATCTAGTATTTTTGGCATCAGAACTTCACTCATGCACTCAGGTCAATAATAAGAAAAGTCAAATATAGAAGAAAAAGACCAAATGTGAGATAGACTGACTCTACAAAAGAAGCCATAGCCTTGGATTTACAACAGTTCAATATTGCTGTCAGAGAAAGAATATTTTGGAAGACTTTCATTTAGTGTCACTTAAAGTTGGAGATGACTTGATGGCACATCAAAACAAGATAGAACAGGACATTTTTGGCAGGTATTCATCCATAAGGTCATTGTAAATCAGAGACTTAAAGACACACAACAACACAGCTTAGCATTGATGACATTAACGTCAGTGAAGTCAATAGGAAGGGAACATGAATATCCATATGAGAAAGATGAGGTGTTCCTACCATAAGGAATCTTTGAAATGTAGCTTGAGTCAGTTGAAATCTGAGGTTCTGCTACAACTGCTGTTTCTAAGAGAATCCTGGGAGTACCTGTCAATATAATACCAAATTGTGAAACACACACATAAATGTTTTACTCTTCTTTTTGCATTACAGCATAGTATCTGTTGCTTCATTGAGACAAACTGTCCTTTTTTCATTCTGCACACAGTTTAAAATGGTGCTTGGAATACTCAAAAAACACCCCATATAACTGCTTGTTATATTAGTATTTAATGGATGCTTCACAGACATTACTTTCTTTGACCAAAGAATCCAACAGTATTTCATATGTAAATAATAGTACAGAACTTTTACCAGGTTTTTCTAGAGCTTTTGCTTCTGCCTCCTCCAAATGTAGCAGTTCATCAAGAGCAAGTTTTGCTGCATTTGATTTTGATTCTTTCTTGTTTTGTCCCAATCCAGTCTTATATTGAATACCATCAACCACAGCGCAAAAAGCAAAGTATGCTCCTAAAAGATTACCTACAAAGTGTGGAATGAAAGATTAACTATATATTTAACTTTACAGAAATGTGCTCACATTTAAGAGGTTATTACTGTTCATGTAAGTTATACATAATGTTCGGGAATTTCCATCACCTCCCAATTTCACATTATCTATAGTTCAAGATTCATAATCACTCCTTTCACAGGTGCTTAGATATGACTGCACTTTCATAATACTTTTTACCTCACCCAGAACACAGGTATCATGCCAGCATATTTTCTGAACTTGAAGAAATAAGCATTTAACTTCTAATGCAGACTACAGTTGCAGTCAGTTATTTGAGATTGGCCAGTGAACAAAACCATATTCCAGATAAATACAATTCAGGTTTATCTGCCCATCCTCCCCACTCCCCAAAATCACAGCATTATGACTTGATATGGGGGTAGGGAACCCCCAAATCAGCAGGCCCAGTTACCATGTTTTCAGTTAACCATGGTTGCCTTTGGCCTGAAAGATAAGTATAAAATGCCAAAAGAAGTCTTAAAGTTCTGAAGTAAGAATGAACAAAAAGAAAATGTATATTGTGTATTTTGAGTATATTTGTTGTTGTTAGTCACAACGTCGTGTCCAACCCATCGCGACCCCATGGACAACATTCCTCCAGGCCTTCCTGTCCTCCACCATCCCCTGGAGTCCAATTTATTTTGTGGCTTGCTGTCTGCTGCCACCACCTGTGGACATCCACTTACCATTGTATAGTGTTTGCTGTTATCTCTGGTTTCAGGCATCCCCTGGGGGGTTTAGACCCAATCTGCACAAACACGGGACTCCTAATGTCTCTAGCCTTTGCTTAAATGCAACTTAGTACCTCTCCAAAACTTTGATTTAAATGTGGCATATGAACATGAAAGGTACAAAAATCCAGGAAAGGCTCAAATACCAGAACAGTATTCCAGTCTCACAGTACATCCATATTTGATTAAAATTCATATTTCAATCAATGAATTTAAATTTTAATCAAATAAGCATGTGGAATGCAAGACAAAGGCAATAATGCCTGGGTGGTAATTTAAAGCAGCCATTAAAAATTTGTTGCTTTGCACTGATTATCAGGTCAAGATTTGGGAGATCATACTCAAGCAATCCTCAAATGTTTAGGAGCAACAAGCTAGAACTAAAACATACGCTAAACAAACCAGTTCTTCCTTCCTCCTGCTAGTGAAAGCGGCTAAGCAGAAGCAAACACTGAGTGCCTTCCCATTAATTTACCACTTTGTGTGATTCGGTACAATACACGCAATGCCTCCAAACTAGAAAACTGTGGATTCCTTACAAAATGTTTTAGGCTAAGGAAAACAGAAGCATTTACCTGTTGCTACAGTTTCCTTTAGTTCAAGCTGTACACGTTGCATCTGTGCAAACTGATGTAAAGCGGATACTGGGTTTATCTCTCCTCGTTTATATTTGATGATAAATTCCTTTGGAATTTTCTTTGGAGGAAGTGAAGTAATGGGTGCTGCCTTGGAGTCAGAAACTTGACCTAAAATGTGTTAGTTGAAAATAACCCCCACTATAAGGGTTGGGGTTAGAACAAATCATAACACTGATTTCACTTTGACTTGCCTACTTCCAACAGTCCATCTCATTTTCTGTGTTATTTATGCTGGTCTCAAAACATTCTTAACTTAAAATGATTTTCTACCTCTCTTATTAAAAGTTCAAACTGATTTTTTTCTTTTGTAGATGAGTTGTAGAAATATTCTAGTATTTTAAAAATATTTTAAAAGGAACTTAAACAAGGTAGGAATCATAATAAAGGCAACTGATATGAAAGACAGACAGACTTTATAACTGCTGGCATATGAAGTCTGTGTTGGAGATGCTGAAATTATTGGGATAGTCCACATATACTTCTAAATATTTCTGCTTCACATAATTTGTTTTTGCAATAATCATTTGAAGCAATGAGTATCTGATTTGTTTTTGGTAGTAACTGTCCCATATTTGAACCTGAGCTTGGGATACCAGGACAAGCCTATTTATCCCGCTTCTATCAAAAACTAAAGCTAAAAAAGAATGAAGATGTGAAAGGTGCTTTGCATCCTCTCTCCTTCCAGAGTAACTAGGAAAAAAGACTGCTGCATGGGATGGGTAGGTAGCAATCTGTATTAATCATACTAAATAGCATTAGGTAGTTAGACAAGAAATATTAAATATTGTATAGGAGTTCATCTTGGTGGATGTTGTGTGAAACACTCCACAGTTTCTCATGCTAACTTTTAATCAAAAAGGTTTATGCTTCATTAAACACTGTAAGATTAAATTTTATTCTTTTATATAACACAACTCACATAGGTCTACTACATCTTATTTGCGCAGCAGGGCACTTAGGAGGGTGGCATCCATTATGTGGAATGATTCCTAGAATATTAGACATGCTCCAACAATTTTTATTTTTAGGGAAATATAAAGTGTTTAATTATGCAAGCCTTTCAGCTGCAGAGAACAATCCTATTCAGCTGCATCTTTACAGCTTCTGACTTTGGTCAGAGAAACAGCAACCCTTAGATAGAGCCATTTTATGAGATTAAAAACTGAAAAGAATTGTCACATTTGATTTGTGGATAATTTCATTCTTATTAGACTGTGTGGTTTAACACAGTTATGCTGGCATTTAATCAGAATGATTTTTATGCAAACAGAAATATAGCATGTTATTCATTTTTTTAGAACACTAAAAAGCGAATTAAAAATCTGACTTATTTTTTGCAAATCTGATTGTTTTGCTTTCCACCCATGCTGTCACTGGAAGCAAACTGCCAGCTCTAAACATTAGTTCCCACTCCAAAAAATACCTGAACACCTAATCCCAGAGTATAAAAATAAAAAGAGTAGCTCAAGTATCTGAAAGAGTAATGTGGAAAACAGCTCTATGGCAAAAGCATAGAGTAAAATAAAACTAGAGGAAAATTAAAAAGGAAAAGCCAGATGAAGTTACATCATAAAAGCAATGTAGGGGTGAGTGCTTACACACAAGCAGCAAAACTCTTTGGTAGTGCTAAGGGCTATGTAAATAAGAAAAGTCTTTAGTTGAAGGACAACAGAAAGCCATACAATTAACAACGAGACAAAAACAATACCTGTGAGATACGTCCCCTTAGGTGCTAGGCTCGAAACGTCGGGTGCTTCTGCAGGTAAAAACAGATGTTGGGCATTCTCTACCTGTGGAAGCAAATTTGCTGACGGCTGGCCAGATGGCTGAGATGACTGGGCAGGCAAGTTCTTTTTTAACATTTGAGCAAAACTAGGCACTCGAGATGCCTGAGGCCAGTCGTTCGCCATCTTGTCCCACCTAAACACAGAGTGGACCTGACCGAAGGTATTCCTGGCGGTTCTTCAATCCTAAGGAGTGAACGAAGAAGTCTGAATATTTCATACATACTTACCCACATGTAAGTTGTAAAGATACAGCTTACAGAACTGAATAGTTACGCGGAGAAGATTAAAATAAAGAATATCTAAAAGATCGGCAGTTCCTCCAAACGCTGCTCACTTGAGCAAATCTTCCCCAAAGCGATTCCAGATAAGAACATCCAGGGATGCGAACTTCATTCACACACCCAGTTAATACCCTCCTCACCTGAGCTACGTACGAAACGTTTCCCTATCTGACCCAGCGAAAGCTCCGACCTTCAGGACACGGAGCAAAACCCACCTAACGAGCCGACCCCCAGAGAACGTGCCACCTCGGATGGGAAAATGAAGACAGGCCTCATCCCGCGACCCAACCAACGAACTTTAACGGAGCTACCATCCTTCAAAAAGCAACGCCGTGCAACTGACCAGGTCGGGCCACTCCAGCCGGGATTTTGTGCCGGTTCTACAATCGCACGCAGGGAAGCTGCGAGAAAGGCGTCGTCCTCCCGCCAGGGCGCGCCGCTCGCCAGGCGCACGCTAGTCACGTGATTAACACTTCCCTCGCCCCTCCCATTGCCCATACATTAACGGTTCGCGAAGCGCGTAGTTGCTGCAGGTGTTCCTTTTTCCTGCGGTGATGAAGCCCGCTCAGTTCACTAGCGTCTTCACCCTGATTTTAAAAAGCAGTTTCATAGTGATTAGATGCGCTTCTAGCCTCTTCTTTCCAAGGCCAGTCTTACGGTCAGCATCTACGCAAAATCCAAAGCGGTCAAAGGCGCTACTTTTAAATACGTGATAAAGGGACGCTAATCAGCTGTGCTACGTACCAATAAGAACGGAGTCCGGCCCACAGGACTAAAACTAAAATAAATGCATATGTGCATAAGTTTGTATGTGGTGTGTGTGTGTGTCTTTAAAAGACCCTGTCAACGATTTGGAGTTATAGTCGTACTGGAGTCCTCCCAAATGAAATGGAGAATTGCTATCTTGTGGAAGTTATGTTTTATGCCATCAGTGCCTGCACGACAGATCCAGAACACAGATGAAGCTGTTTGTTATGAGGTGTATTTTATTGAATAAAACTGCATCTGTGGATTTCAGCCCATGGCACCAGCCGGTTTACTTCTAGTTGTGTAAGGGGAGAAGTAGAAGAGTGCCTTTCCTGCGACATTGGACTATAAAAAACCCACTTTCTGTTCAGTCATACCACTGGTCTGTCTAGCTCAGTACTGTTTTATAGACCCTAGACAGCAGCTCTCTGGGGTTTCATTCTGGAGAAACTTTCTCAGTCCTATATGGGGCTGGTCCTAGAATCTTTCCTGGGTAAAAAACAACTGCTCTGCCACAGAGTTAGAATGTCATATCTGTACTGGGGAGAAAAGGTATTACAGTAAGTGAGGAGTGGAAGAGACCAAGGAAGTCATGACGTCGTGAGGTCTCCCCAACTGCCTTTCCTCCCCCTCTGAAACATCCCAGTCAGACAGGTAAAAACACCCCATCTGGCAAAAAATGCAGGGCTGGAAGATGGAGAGGGGAAGGTGACATCACTCTTCCTACTCTACATGGGATGCTTATAAGTCTCCAAATATGAGGACAGAATCCTTGCACAACAGACCCAGAAGTCAGCTGAAGCTTTTTCTTACATATGAATGGGTTTGAGGAATATAACAAATCCATTAATACTTGCAAGGGAAGAATAGCCAAGTCATTAAACAATGAAAGATAGATTCTTGGGGCAGCTATACTGTATTTCTTCCATGGAAAAAACAAGGCATTCCTTTTAGGAATATTTTGCCTGTTTTGAGCATTAAAATAATGGGGAGATTATTACCTCTGCCTCTTAAAGCTCCATTTTGTTCAAAAATAAGTGCATGTATTTGTTTTTATCCAGATATTCAAACCATCTGACATCTTTAAAAAGAGACAGAGACTAATCCTGTCTTTAAAATATTGGCATCTCTAGGTAGCTCATCTGAGCCAAAGGATACCAGTAGTTATACTTGGACAATATTCTGTATACAGATATGTGGGACTGCAGAATGTTCAGTATAACACATCTCAGGAAACATAATTTCATCAACACAAAAAAATATATGTGATCAAAAATGTGCCGCCAGGAAGACTCTACCATTATGATCTAGACAAAACTTTTCTCCATCACAGCAGAACACCTAATCGGAGACATTTAATTCAGTTATAGGTTGGCTCAGTTTAATATCAATTCTAGAGTCAAAAGAGTTTACTCCTCCAGGTTTTCAGATATATAGTTTGATGCTTTGGACAACCGGAATCATACTCCTTCAACACTCCAGAAAATGTCTAAGTGCCACAATTCATGACCAAACCTTAGAGGTATGATAGAGGGGAGCTGCGAGTGGGTGTGCCAGGTGCCATTCCCAGTGAGCAACCTTCTCTGCCAGGCACTGTGATTGCCACTTAAGCACTGAAGAGTGGCACTGCTTGCATACTGTGTGGGGCTCAATTCCAGGTGAGCACTCCAAGGCTGGGAGTGCTCACTAGAAACTTGGACCCAGGGCTTCTGCAAGGTAGAGTCTGCTGAGCAAAGCCCAGGGAATCCAATGAATTCCTACCCGCCCCCCCCCCCAAAGAGATTCCTCACACATCCGCAACTTGAGCATCACTGCCATTGTCTGTGAAAAATTCTCTATCAATGCCACCTTCAACTACCACAGCTGCCCAGTAATTATCCTTCAGGCATTTCCCTGTCCCTTTCACCATTAGGGGATGGCAAAGTTTGAGGTGGCTGGATGGGGTCACTGGGGAGGTGGGTATGAGGTTGGGTGGACTCCAGGGGATGGTGGACAGGAGAACCTGGAGGAATGTTGTCCATGGGGTCATGAAGAGTCGGATGTGACTTTGTGACTAAACAAAAACATCACCATTAGAGATAATCATTCTTTCCTGCTGATGTGACTGTTAACTCCTGAAAGAGCCTGAAGGCATCTTAATTTGGCATCTTAACCTTGACCATTGTACCTTAGGTACTCCTGCTGGGAGGCAAGGCTAGTGAGACAAGTTAGCCTCTTGATGGCATTACTCTTGGTTTCTCTGACACTGCCAACTCCCTTCATCATGTAAAGTATGTATCCAGGAAGCAAGAGGATCTTTATACATTGCCATATAATGTAGCTTTGACCACTAGGAAGTATTCCTGCCTAGGATATATTGCTGTTACAAATCAGAATGCTCTCCAGGAATCCCAAAGAAAGAAATACATGGAAAGAATTTCCTTATTTTGAGGAAGGACTTTCATTGCTTAGTGGTAGAATACATGTTTCACATACAGAATGTTGTGTATGTTTATATAGAAAAAGCCTTACAACTCCCAGCATATCTCCAGCCAAATTTTCAGAGTCTTAACATACATAGAATTGTGCCCTAAAAGTATCAAATGATGGGAAAGACTACTCACAGAGCCCCTGAATTGCAGCTGCCACAGTACACAATGCAGGACTTAATAGACAGATGGTCTGACATGATATAAAACAGCTTTCAGACCTAAGAGGGTAGCTGGTGCAGTTCTTCCTGCACTGGCTTTGAAGGGGTTAGGTCAGATCCCCAACTCCTCACAAGGTCAGAGACAGCACTCCAAGCTCAGAAAGGGGTTAGGAATCCCCAGTATCCTATAACTCTTCTAACAATGGTTAAAAGCCAAGGGGCTGCTTTCTCAATAATTGGTTGTATTGCACACATCATTGTATCATTTGAAAGCAAAGGCTCTGAATACTTCAGAGGTCATTTTAACCACACTCAATGTAGAGCTTCTATACAGAAACATACTGATAACAAATATACACTTGACATTAACTTTTATTCTGAATGTAACAAACTTAAAATGATTTAGCACTATCACAATCACAGTCCATAAATTATATACATATAGAATATATACAAACTATGTGGACAAGAAAAAGCCATTCAGGGAATCACATTATCCAAAAAGTTTTTCAGTGTTATGGCAAATAAAAATTTAGAAAATTCACAGTTAATCTGTAGCTTAGAGATGAAGAATATTGCACATAATACAATTGTAAATGCTAAACAGCAGCTTTAGTTTTCTTCACAAACATCGGTCATGCAATGCTATACAATACAAAATGGCATCACATACCAGAGTAAACCATTGTTCACAATGTTGATCAAGTTTTAAATATGGTAGCAAACAGCTGTTAGGTTCTTTCAGTATAAATCATGCTTAAACAACTGAATACATGTAAAACAGAAAATATAAAATCTGTGTTTGTCACATTAATTTTAGGATTAGTTCAGTGATCTTCCTTGTCTTTTCCTTTCTTTTCTTTTTCATCCTGTAGTGCAGTGCCAAGCTTTTTGATAAGAACTGACAAAACTTTGTCCAATGGATCCATGACTCCACGTTGAAGCCATTTAGGAATAGTAGTCCTTGCATGATGGAAGCCTAGCTTCTGAAGTATATAATCAACACCTACTGGATCAATCTTTCTTCCAGTCCAAGAAATTAATCTAAAAATTAAAACACATTTGTTTAGCAATTTAAATAAGGAAATCTTCCATTTTAGCATGATTACACTCTATCAGTAGTCTCTTATAAAGGAATTTACTATGGCAAAGGAGTAAATAATTTTTGGCTAGCCTATCTATGTTCTTTCTGTTTTTACTGGTTCATTCCTAGGATTTTGTTGATCATGTTCAGCATTTAGTCACAGATTCCATATCAAGGAAGAAAATATGAAATGCAACTGAACTGTGCCTTAGCCTAATAATGGTATTACCCAAATAGGGAAGTTGACTTTTTATGGATTTTTACACCATTGGTTTTTGTATGGCTTGGGCCACTTTTAGCTATTCAAGCACAGAATTTTTGACGGAAAGAATACAATTTTATACGATCTAACTTTGAAACTTCATTCTGTAATAAGTAAAGCTAACCAATCTGATCTCTGTTGACTTCTTAAATCAAGTACACAATTTAAAATGACCTCTAGCTTTGCTGATAAAAAAAGTGTCTAGTTTTTCTCTATTTCTGCTTCCACCTACCAAGAAGATGGTTCTAAGGAACAGCTGAATTATGTCTTTTCAAAAATAAGGGCTAAATTCTTGTTTCTCCACTAAGGCAAAGATAGCTTGTATATTCTGACTTCTACAACTTTGCCCCCTCCCCACCCACTCACCCCCCCCACCACACTTACACCTCTCTGTGGCTGCTTTCCTGACCACAAAAAGGAGGCAGTGTGGTTCACTCTGTGCCTGCTGCACAGGGGAATGGCAATGGAGCTCAGATTCCCAGACCCAAGGTTAGAGCACTGTCTCCAAACTCAGTTCTGAGAAAGGAAAGTTACTTATCTGTAACTGTGGTTCTTTGAGATATCACCTGTTCATCACACATACCAGCTGAGGATGCTTTGGACAACCAGAATCATACTCCTTCAACACTCCAGAAAACGTCTAAGTGCCACAATTCATGACCAAACCTTACAGAGGTATGATAGAGGGGAGCTGCGAGTGGGTGTGCCAGGTGCCATTCCCAGTGACCAACCTTCTCTGCCAGGCGCTGTGACTGCCACTTAAGCACTGAAGAGTGGCACTGCTTGTATAGCGTGTGGGGCTCAATTCCTGGTGAGAATCTTTTTGGCTTGAATCTTCTCTCACTGTCACAGCTAGCATATCCTTACTGGTTCCCACCCTTTTCCTCCTGACAGTCACTAGAGACTGCCATTGTTCCCTCTGAAGGGTGATTGAATCAACACCTTCATAGATACTTATATCAATTCTAAAAGAGAAAGACTTTGGCACCAGCATCACTTAAGCCAACAACAAAATGGCAGTGGTGGGAAACTTGTGTGAATGCACAGATGACCACTGGAAGAACCACAGTTACAAGTGAACTATTTACATTTCTTCTGCATGGTTTCTGTGTATCACACATATAGGTGATTACCAGTGGTGGGTCAATGGCACTATCAGAGCACTGAAAAAAACACTGCCCTACTGAAGGGGCAGTCAGCTCTGGCATAAATGTTGAGCCAGTAGAGTTTTAACTAACAAGGAAGCTACCTTCCATGACAATAGCAGTAAGTTGACTATCACCAGAGGTTCAAAGAGCTTAACAGTCAAAATATAAAGAAAAGCAAACAGCTTCCAGCTAGGCATTGGTCAGTGATTTGGAAGAATCTTCAGAAGAATTGGCTCTGCCCTTTGCCTTGATATTGCATCAATCTGATGTGCAGAGAAGTTAATTTGTTGGTGACAGAACCAACATACTTCTTGGAAAACTCTACTCAGCTCCACCTGGTCTTCTGACAGTGAGGAAGCAAATAGTAGTCTTGATCTTGTTGGAATCTCCAATCAGTGCAGTGCTAGAGCAGGGGTATTTGCTTGGTCTGCCCTTGCACTCAGTATTGTGGCACACTGGCAGGCAATGGGCTATTAAGCTTAGTGAACTTCTCATTAAGTTGGTGGCAACAAAATGGGAGATGAGGGCTGTAGTGGCAAAGCATTGTCAATCTCACCTTCAGAGACTGAAGCCACATATAACAAGCCACATATAGCAAGTCTATAGCAAGTGCCACATCAGCAGTTTGCTTGGCTGGTAGGGTTAAATACAACTAGGGTTGAATTGTCACAGAGCAATCCTTATAATGTGTCTTGTGCCTTTTAAAGACATTATAAGATTTTTGAGGCTTTGCCTTTTCTGTTAGCTTCTTGCCACAGAGAAGGCGAACCACCATCTGTGTGCAGAGGGAGTAATCATCACTTATGGACAGAGTCCTAAGTAACAAGGCAGCCCCAACAGATGAAGCTGGAGGGCCTGAGGAAGAAGTACATTCCTTACCCATTGATCTTGGGTTATTTACAGCCTGAAGAGCCTTCTTCCACAGGGCTGTTTTGTAAATGCCAAACAATGCAAGTGGGAATCCACAGCGCAACCCTCACTCAGGCAAAAAAGGCAAAGAAAGTACCCACTCATTGATGGGAACTTACTCCCACTCCTATCACATTTAAGGGCCTTAAGGGCCATACAATCTAAACGCCTACAAAATTGAGAAGGCAACTCTAATTTAAGGAAATAGTAAGAAAATGATAATTGATAATTAAATTTAGAGAGACAGCTGAAGAAAATGTGCCTAAAGATGAAATGAAGTTTCTATGCAATTGCCACAATGGCAGTTGAAGAAAAACTGAGGGAAAGGAGTGGGACCTGTAGGGGTATACTAGCTGTGACAATGAGTGGATGTTCCTACCCACAAGATCATCAGCTATAGAAGCTTCCTAAAGTGAGCATCCATGCAGGTGCAGAGTCCATATGTGTGATGCACAAACTATGAAAAAGAATCTTAAATATCCTATCACTCTTCAGACAAAATTTAAGTGCTACAGGATTGTTCGTTAATAATCAGAAAATCAGGCCAAAAAACACTGATTTTACCACAAACAGAAGCACTAATTACCTCAGTGTGGGTTCCAGATGCCATGTATTACAGATAAATTCTCTCCAATCAACAGTAGTATAGGTAATACTTTCTTCTAATCCTCTTTCAGCTGAACTTTCATCAAGTACGCTGACAGGGCTTTTCTGACCTGGGCGACTAGACAGAATGCGTGGTGGAAAGATGGCTAGGAAAGATAAGAACAGTGAAGTTTTCACTTTAGATAAAAATCCAGATCAGTTTGTTAATGTAATGAGTAAGATATTACTCATTGCAAAGACAACTTTACAGATAAATACATTGCTCTTTTTTTCTTTGACAGAAAGAATGTGTGAATACAGAACAGCCAGATACATCAGAATCATGATAACGTAACAATAAGATACTGTCAATAACAGCAGCAGCAACACTAGAAATGAGAAAAGATTACACACTGTTTAATTATATTTTTGAAGTATACATTTTCCATATATTTTTATACAATCATGGCAGAATACAGATTTGTCAGTAAACCTCAGATCTCATTTAATTCATGAGCATTCTAAATTAAAGCAATTTGGGGCCAAACAGCACAAAACTAAATCATATTAATAGTTTATACTACTGTAGCCTGAAAACACATCCTTGCCAAATTAAGGCCATGTTTTTAGGGATTGGGTCTACATCTCCTAAAATAAAGCACTGTAAGGTACCGTATTTTTCGCTCTGTAAGACACACTTTTTTCCCCCTCAAAAGTAAGGGAAAATGTCTGTGCGTCTTATAGAGTGAAGGTGTGTGTGCCCAACGCCCGGGACGCTGCCGGCCCACCTGCACCACGTGGCACCACCTGGCCAGCACGCACTCGGCACGCACTGCTCCACCCACCCACCCACCCCGGCGCAGGTGAGAGCTGTGCTCCTCGGGGGAGAGGTGCGGAGGAGCAGCAGCCGCGGGCTTTAACCCGCCGGCCGCACAGAGAGACGGACTGCTCACCCCCACCGCCTGGGAAGGCCTGCCGTGGAGGAGGAGGAGCCATGGGCTTTAACCTGCCGGCCGCATGGAGAGACGGACTTCTCACCCTCACCGCCCGGGAAGACCTGCCGCCGCCGCGCCGCCCAGAAGACCACCACCGGCATGCTGCCGGCCCGGCTGCACCATGTGGCACCACCTGGCCAGCATGCACTCGGTGCGCCCTGCTCCGCCCCCACCCCTCTGGCACAGGTGAGAGCTGTGCCGCTCAGGGGGAGCGGTGCGGAGGAGAAGGAGCCGTGGGCTTTAACCTGCTGGCCGCATGGAGAGATGGACTGCTCACCCCCACCGACTGGGAAGACCTGCCGCTGTCGCGCCGCCCGGAAGACCACCGCCAGCACGCTGCCGGCCCAGCTGCACCACACCTGGCTGGCACGCGCTCGGCGCACCCTGCTCCACCCCCCTCCTCCGGCGCAGGTGAGAGCTATTAATCACAGGTCGGTGTGTGTTTTCAAATGGCAACCCATCTTTTAATGAAGCCCATGGGGAAGTGATGGGGAATGTGCCTGTGATTATCAGGAAGCTTTCCATGGATCCTTCCTCTAAAAACTAGGTGCATCTTATGGTCAGGTGCATCTTGTAGAGCGAAAAATACGGTAGTTACCCCTGATTCTAAATTTGAACTGGAAGGAAAAGCAGGGTTTGAATTCAAAGCTAAATGCCAAGGCTAGAATGCTCCAAGATAAGCAAAGCAGCTGCTGAGGACTAGATCATCTGCTTCTAGGGGAGACACATAATCTGTCCCACAGTCTGGTATCATATCAGATATGCAGACCAACTGAGTACTCTCCCTCATTACAACCATCTGTCCCACAAGAAACAGGAACCACTTTAAAAATGGAGATAACTTTAGTTGTTTGGGAAGGGGATTTCCCAACTTTAAAAATGGAGATAACTTTAGTTGTTTGGGAAGGGAATTTCCCAACTTATCAACTTCTTCACATAAGTAATTTCCCTAATTAGCCAGTTTACTAACTTCACTGACATATTTTCTGCAATACTCCTTTTATATCACAAATCCAGCCTAGCAGGCCAGCTTTAACATAATAAAGACTTGTCAGGAACCTCTTGTCATGATTTGCTTGGAAAGGAGAAGGGGTGAAAAGACCAGCCTGGGCAATGTACAGCATTTTTTAGTATAGTCTGACAACTGATCATAAGTAAGCCATGAAACAAGACCATACATTCACCTTACACTAGAGCAATAATTTATTGATTGACATCGTAACATTAATATTCTTACATTGTCAAATTTATTGCAAATATCAAAGCTATTATTTTGAGACAGGTAAGCAATGTGGTGACCACAGGCAAAAATGTTCCCCTAAATGTCCTTCTGGGTGCCTCCCAAGATGTCCTACCTCTCCAATGTTAACATTTTCTTAAACTGACAGCTGGGATCACTTCTATGCAAATTAAGGGCTTACAGCTGCTGCTGTCTTCATTTCCCAGTTAATGCTCTGGGCTACATGAAGAAGCTCAGATATATTAGGAAATGAAGATAGTGGACAGCTGCAAGCCAGTGCTTTCCTCTGCAGTACAGCCAGACATACAGGAAAAGAGGGGAAAACAAAAGGTGCTGAAACCTGTGGGTTCAAAGGACTTCAGTGTACTCTGACCTCTCCTCTGCCTTTTACATAGGTTACTTGTCTTTTATGACTAGTCCATGGCAGTTAGTTTGTGGTTGTGCCCACAGCAGTATTTCAAATTGCCAACTGTGCCAGCAGGCCCAAAAAGTTCCAGGGCCTATACTGAGAAAAATGTTCTCTATCTGTAGCACAGTACTGTTTTTAATCTAGTTCTGTCAACTTTGAACAATTAAATTTAGTGATGGAACATTTAATCCTGAAAAAAGATTTTTTTATTAAAAGAAAATGCATGTTAAACGGTATTTTAATACTGTATTTTAATAATTGCTGATTTTATTTATTGGTTTTCAATTATTATGCCAGGATGTTTCCCGTTTTTATATGTATTTGTATAGGTATTTATTTATATGTTGGAAGTCGTCCCGAGGCTTATGCGAATGGGACAGCATACAAAAATTCCAAATAAATAAATAAATAAATAAATGTGTGTTTTTTTTAATGTTTTATCAGCCCCATTTCTCCTAGCAGGATACTTACTGTAATATAGAAAAAGTATAAAGACAAATCTTACAGCATTGAAATATTATATAAAGAAGACAACCGCTTCAAATAACTATTATACACAAATCAACTAAGAAAAGCCCACCTGTTACAGACCAACAGTTCATCAAACAAATAATCAACATACCTTTCTCCTTTTCTTTAAGATAAGCAGACACTAGATCATGCAGGAACATTATCAGCTCAGCATCCATAGTTACACAAATGTGATCAGTGAATTCTGTTACTACACTGCATTCCACTTTTGGCTTAGCACTGGCATCTGTAATAAAATTCTATAAATCACTAGGCAAAGTGATAAATGCATACAAACATGCTCACACACTTTTAATGTGAAATATTTAAAATGCTGACAAAAGTAATTACCTTAAGTAGTGAAAAGAGATAACCCTTTAGAGCATGAGGAAGAGACCTTCCTACTAGTGGATTTAACAATAGGTTTACAGCAACTCTGCCTAATGTTGACAGTACACACCCATTTCAAGTTGATATATAACATCTCATGGCATGTGTGCTAAGCCACATTTCAAACCAACGTTCTAAACAGCAGCCCGATGCAGTTCTAGCGCTTCTGAATTCTGCACATCTTTAGCAGTGCAGTCCATGTTAATCTGTTCCATATTGTACCACCCTTATTTTCAACATGCTGGATATTTATTGCTAGATAATTTCTTTCTCCATCTGCTGCTGCATCTGAGCATGTAATGTGAATAGCACATGCAGTATGAAACAACACTGAGACGTAAGCTATATTCACCAATAATTTTATGTCATAGCCTAATCAAGACCCTTTTTAACTATTGCATGTTAAAATTCTGCCACTTATGCTTATTTTGTCTTAGCCACTTAAGTATTTTGTCCATCTTGGATTTCTACTATATGTATTTCACATAAAGCAATACTCCTGCCATTACTCTTACCATCTGTATCATACACTCATTCTGACAATTCTTCCCCACACATTATAAATTAAAGGCTAAAGTTCTATCAAACTCTTCTCTCCCTTTATATGTCACATTTAGAAAGCCAGGGTGCTTACCTGTAACTGTCGTTCTTCGAGTGGTCATCTGTGCAGCCACACATAATGGATACTGTGCCTGTGCAGTGCCTATTGCCGGGTAGAATACCAAAGCTTCAATGGATTTTGGCAGGAACTCCACACCCTTTGACCACACACCTATAGGGCGGAGCGCCTGCCATTTTCCCGTTTATGGAGACCGGCAGATCGCCCCCTAGCGAGGTGTGTGGTCAACTCAAGGAGTTGCTAGAGGCAGGCTACTGTCCCGTCCTCCAACACCGAGTGGGGCTGGTGGGCGGGTTGTGTGACTGCACAGATGGCCACTCAAAGAAAAACAGTTACAGGTAAGCAACGTGGCTTTCTTTTTCGTGGTCTCTGTGCATCACACATAATGGGTGATTAGCAAGCTAACTGACCAGAGGTGGGTCGGTGTTGTCAGAGGAGGAAGGATGAGAGGACAGCCTGTCCAAAGGAGCAGTCCTGTCTGGCTCGAATGTCGAATCTGTAATGCCTGGTAAAGGTGGAAGGAGTCATCCCTCCTCTCCTGCGTGATCAGGTGAGGGATCTGTGGTAGACAGAAGAACATACGACGGGGGAGGTTGAGGACGGTCGGGAACCAGGGTTGTCGGGGCCACCATGGTGTGATAAGAATGCCCTGTGCCCTTTCGCGGGCGGCCTTTTCCAGGGTACGAGTGATCAGCGGAATTGGGGGGAACGCGTAGAGGAAGGAGCCCAACCAACTCACCATCTTGGTGTCACCCTGTGAGTTTGGGCCCGCCCCCGCCCTGGAGCAGTATGTCCTGCACTTCGAATTGGAGGCCGTTGCAAGCAGGTCCAAGGACAGAGTACCCAAATGGGAAAACAAGTCCCTGCAAATCTGGTCGTCCAGTTCCCATTCGTGGGTTGATGACATCTTCCTGCTGAGAGTATCCGCCTCCCCGATGTGCACCCCCACTAGATGGATCGCGAGTAGGGAAATGCCCCTGGGGATGCACCAGTCCCAAATCTGCAAGGCCAGATGGGCCAGTGGTACCGACTTCGTGCCGTCTTGTTTATGTAGAAGATGGTGACTATGTTGTCGGAGGCTACCTGTACCGACCAGTTATAAGGGTAGGTTCGAAGGAATGTAGCGCCTTGAACACTGCCAGTAGTTCGAGAAAATTGATATGCTCGGACTTTTTGTGAGCCTGCCAGGTGCCTTGGGTATGTAGGTTGGAGCAATGTGCTCCCCAACCTGTGAGGGAAGCGTTGGTATGGAGCGAAATCGAGGGTTGCCGCTGGTGAAACAGAACACCCACTGTAAGGCTGTCGGTGTTTGTCCACCAAGACAGAGTCTGGCGAACCGAGGCGGGAGGTAGGAGTGGTCATCTTGGGGAGTCGCAAGAGGCTGGAACACATTGTTGAACCACAGCTGAAGTGGTCGCATCCTCAGTTTGGCATTCGGGACGACTGTGATTGTCAAAGCCATGTGTCCTAGGAGCCTTTGGATGGCTAATGGCAGTGTCCGCCTGCCCTCCTGAACCTGTCTGACTGAGAAGCAGAGTCTTTCCATTTGGGCCCGTGGAAGGAACGCTCGTGCCTGAACTGAATTGAGTTGTGCCCCGATGAACTTGATGACCTGTGAGGGAGTAAGACTGGATTTCTGGGCATTAATACACAGTCCAAGGCCCTCCAGGAGGGTGCATGTAGTTTTGATGGCTGAAATATGGTGATCCCAGGAGGAGGAGACAATAAGCCAATTGCCTAAGTAGGGGTAAATTTGTACACCCAGTAGGCAAAGGTGGGTGCAGACTGGAGCCATGCACTTAGTAAATACCCTAGGAGCTGTGGCAAGTCAGAAGGGGAGGACATTATATTCAAAAATATCGGATCCAACAGTAAAGCGGAGCAGCTTTCTGTGGTCTGGGTGGATGCCGATGTGGAAGTAGGCATCCTTTAAATCTATGGAAGCGAACCAATCTTCTCTCTCTAGAAAGGGAGTGATATTTTGCAGGACGAAATTTCTTAGTTGTAATGACGCCCCTTAAATCGAGTATGGGGCGTAGACCACCATCCTGTTTCAGTACCATAAAGTATATGGAATAGAAGCCGTGAAGGCCGTCGGAATGGGAGATTCGGTGAATCGCTCCTTTATGGAGTAGCTGGAGTACCTCCTCTCTGAGGACCTCCAATGGAGCAGTGTAGTGTCACAGTCTACATGGTGTCAGGCTGTGGTAAGTTGTTGTATGGAGAGCTCCATAGCTTCCTGGATGAAGACGTGGACCAAGTCACGCTGTTGTTCCGGAATAGACGAGGTGATGGATTCCAGCCATTGCATCAGGAAGTACTGATATCTGGCCATTGTTGCCTCGTAAATTTGAGATCCGGAGACCCAGTCCCATGGCCGCATAGATGCGTCGCACCATCAGGTCTATCTTCCTGCCTTCTTTGCCTCTAGGGGTTGAGTGTTCCCTGTTGTCTCACCCCTGGGAAGACTCAACCACAACTGAATTAGGTTTCAGGTGTCTCAAGAGGAATGGAATATCCTGTTCCCAAACCTTATACATGGACTCGTATCTCCTGGATGGCGGGTGGGGTTGGCTAGGAAAAGCCCAAGTGTCCTCCATGGCCTCCTGAAGGGTGATAATAAGCGGGACGGATATGGTGGAGGACTGTTCTTTACGAACAATGTCATAAAAATCATCTTTGTTGGTGCTGGGTCAATGCTCAACCTCGATTTCCAAGGACCAGGTAAGGCGGCTCATGAGTTCGCCGAATGTGGTGTAAGATTCTTCAGGGGACCCAGGGCCCTGGGTAGAAATGACCGTGCCGGGAGATGTAGAGCATCGATCCGAGTATTCCGAATCTGAATCGTAAAGGTAAGGCAGGCTGGAGGAAGACTGGGCTGGAGGCGGTGGAGGATGAGAAGTCGCCAGTACCGAGGTGGAGGGCGCTTCGGTCCTGGCCAGCCAGAATCAGTGCCTGCGCTCTGGTGGCATGGGATAATAGCCATACGAAGGCAGATATCCCAGTAGTAGGGCTGAGGAGGTTCGGGGCCTTCGTATGGCATTGGAACCCAACTCGGTAGGCTGGCCCAAAGAGCGGTGGTAGTGGAGGGGCTCAGCCAGTGCAGGAGACCTTGGAGATGCCTCGGGCGATGAAGGCGTCGGAGAACGGGCCAGCTGGTCGTTTGGCAGCGACCACGGAGGAGAGTCTCGGATTTCCCTGTCAGATATCGATCCATGAACGATGGGTTCGGGGGGATCCGGTGCCGCAGGAACCACAGACTCGACCCTCTGGGGAGATCTGGGAGGCGTAACTTTAATCAGCGCCTGTGGTGTTGGTGTTGAAGGCATCGGGACCGACGGAGCCATCGGGACCAATGAAGCGGTCGAACCCAAGTCTCGGTGTGGTTCCGGGGCAGGTCTATGATGTTTGCGGCAGGCCTTGTTGGTTTTGTCCTTCTTAGGCTTTTTCGGGGCCGACAAATCCCCTAGGCCGGTGTGCTTCCTTTTCTCCTTTTGTTTGAGTGAGGAGGAATGGGAGGAGCAAGAGGTCTCCCTGGAAGCAGCTCCCTTGGTTGGTGGACGAGGGGAGGTCATCATAGAGGGACCAGCCGGCGTAGCCTGGGTGGCAAGTTAGTCAGAGGCTTATCAGGGCCTGATCCCAAAGGATCTTTCTCAGCTAGTTTTCCTGATTTTTTCAGGCTTGTTTTGTGAAAGCCTGGCAGTGTCCGCATTTATCAGTGTGGTGCTCCTCTCCCAGGCAAAGAAGACAGAGCTCATGCGGGTCCGTTGGAGACATTTTGGCCCTGCATTTGGAGCACTTTCGAAAAGCTGCGTGCTGAGCCATTGGATAAAGGGATAGCGAAGAAAGAGAGTAAGAAGGTAAGGAGGTTTTAAATTTTATTTTTTTTTAGTAAGAAAAAAAATGGTTGTTTAACTAGAGAAGGTAAAGGTAATAAACTTGGATTATTTCAACTGGGAAGAAAAGAAAACAGCAATCAAATAGAGAAAGAGGGATAAACAAATGGCTCGAGGCAGTGCGATCGGTGGTCAAAAAAAGACTGGGAAAAATGGCAGGCACTCCACCCTATATAGCACCACGGGGGAGGGGTGCGGAGTTCCTGCCAAAATCCATTGAAGCTTTGGTATTCTACCCAGCAACAGGCATTGCGCAGCTGCAGTACCCATTATGTGTGATGCACAAAGACCATGAAGAAGAAAGACAGGTTACTTACTTGTAATTGTAGTTCTTTGAGTGGTCAGCTGTGCATTTATTCATATAGGCTCTGCACCTGCATGGAGACTCGATGCAGGAAGCTTCTATAACTGTGAAGTTTTGATGGAAGGCCTTTCCTCTTTGTATACCTCTAACCAGTTATCAACTGCTCTTTCAGTTCACTGAGACCACCAATTGTGGCCTCAGAAATGAGTGCTGGTACTAGATACTGTGCCAGGGATATCTACCCCCCACCCTCCCATATGCAATCCTGACATTGAGGAGGGAATAGAGTGCAGATTGTGTGAAAATAGAGATGACTGCTCAAAGAACCACAGGGACAGGTAAGTGAGTTGTCTTTCCCCTTTGTGGTCTCTGTGCATTACACATATGGATGATCAGTAAGCTAACTCATTGGTGGGTAGGTGGGTTGGTGTCACTAATCCAGAATCGAGGAAAACACCATCTGACCAAACAAGCAACCTGCTCTACCTTTAATTTCCAGCTGGTAATGTCTAATAAAAGTGCATGATTTTGATCATATAACCATGCAACATAGTTCAGTCAGCAAGAAAGTACAGGTAAAGTGAGCTCACACTACGACATCAATTTCCAGACCTACAACCTTTTAAGCTAGGAGTACAGTCTGTACCACCCAACATTACAGTCTCTAAAAGGAAACTGTATATTGATATCATTCCCGATAGAATGATGATGAGACATCTGTCAATAGAGGTCTGCAAGGTGGCTCTCTAATACCTTGAACATGAAGAGTAGAAAACTCTAATTTCCACTTCAGTGGTTGAGGTGATTGGAATGGACTCTAACAATGGGTGAGAAGGCATAGCCTGAATAGGAGAATTGAGGATAGGAAGTGGTGATGTGATTAGAGATTTCTTCCTCTTGTGAGTGATCACCAGCAGAGTCCTTTCTTTTCTTTCTCTTTTTAGCGAGATCCAATGAGGTTTCCGAGTGAGCCCTTTCCGACAATTTTTGCCAACAATACAACCAGAGAGCAGCCTGGCGTTGGAGGGTCCACTCAGCTTCTGATTAGAGCTAGAGAGGAGGAGGAGGAGGAGGACTGGTCTCTATTGCCATAGTAGAGGAAAAGGCCTGTCTTGGACAAGTTTGTTATGCTCTAAAAACAGGTGGAGAAATTTTAACACCCCAATGCTTTTTTTCCAAAGAAAAGTCTTCAGCTATTGGACCTATTTTTTCTGGTCTGTTTGGTAAAGGTCTGGCACTGCAGACAAGAATTTATAAAGATGGTCTTCCCCCAAACAGAGCAAGTAATCATCTGTTGGAGGGAATTTGTGATCACAATGGATACACTTTTGAAAGGGTTTATTGGATGCAGAGAGCCATCTGTGATTGCTAAAATAAAAAGTAGTACAGTGGTACCTCAGCTCACAAATGCCTCAGTTCACAATCCAATTTCGTTGTGAACAGAAATTTCAGAAAAAGTTTGCCTCAGGTAATGAACTCCACATCGGGTGACAATAGCAATCACACACATCTTCCCTGCACGGGTACGATTGTGGTCGTGCTCGAGGGGAGGGGAGATGGCTGCGATCGCACCTGTCTTCCCTGCCCAAGTGCGACCGCGATGGCACCTGTCTATGGCCACGATCGTAGTCACGTTTGTGCAGAGAAGATGGGCACAATCGCAGTTGTGCTTGGCGGGGAGATGGCCATGATCATGCTCAGGGGTGGGAAGATGGCTGCGATCGCGGTCGCGCTTGTGCAGGGAAGACGGGCGCGATTGTGATTGGGCTCGGGGGGGGCGGGGGGAGATGGCTACGATCAAATTTTTGTGATTAAAAAAAAATGGTTACAGAACAGATTAACCTTATTTACATTGAACCTTATGGGGAAATTTGACTTGGGTCACAACCAATTTGGGTCACGACCAGAGTTGTGGAATAGATTAAGTTCATGAACCAAGGTACCACTGTATAACCAGAAATAAATCAAATTATATGACAGGAAATAATGAAGCAGGATTATCAGTGAAGTGCAGTACTTTCTCAGAAAAGGAAGGATAATGTTGTCTGTAAGACAACCACAGTGGTGGTCAAACAGAAACCAATGGGAGGAGGTAGGAACCTGCTGGTGATATGCAAGAGGTGAAGGGTTTCTGCCAGTTTCCCAAATCAAGAATCCTTGTAGGTACGGAGTCTATATGGATGATGCATAGAGAATGATCTGTTTGAACAATTGGACAGTTTCCTCTATGATTACAACTCAATAAAAGCTTATTTGCCAGCTGATACTGATAATCTTCCTAATAACTTCTTTTACAGTCACAGCTGAAAGACTGGAGATTTATTAAATTGGAGATCTATTCATTAAGTTTCTATTGCATTTTAACATGTTATAATTGTTACAACTGGTAATCTGATTGTGTTTGCATGTAAATTTGTGATATTGTTATGGCAACTGGTAGTCTTAGTAATTGGTGCTGTATGTAAGCATTGTAAACTCTAGTTTCACATTGATATTCAACATGAAGTTAACTATGGAATCAACCATATTTAATGTTCTTATTTTTTAAAAATGTCAGTTTAAGCTTGGAATTATACTCAGTTCTCTTTACATGTAGTATAGATTAGGCTTATAGTTTAGAATTAAAATGCACTATTTTACCTTGTAATACAGGTTCTTGTGGCTGCTGAACATGAATGGATTTGAAGTCCAGCTGCATTCTTGGTAATGCAAAGATAGTTTCAGTCTCATGATTGTAACTGGAACTTCCTCTGAATCCACTTAACAAACTGGAGCTTTTCACTGTTGTGCTATTCTCTAGGTTATTTGCATCAACATTTCGGAGAAGGTTTAACTCTGAAAAGAATAGCAAATGGTATTTCTTAGTTATTTTATTTTAACACTTTCAGCAGTTACTAAAGAAAATTTAAATAATTTGTGTAGCTTCATAGATGGCTTTATAAATTGACCTTTACAAGGACTAATAAGCTGATCTAATTATAAACTCTACATTAAAAGCAATAATCTCTTCAATTTTTGTTCCCATTCTAAATTCATAACACTTTCCCCTACTCCAAGATTATGATCAGTGGTACAAGAGAGAGACAATCCTCATATTCTTAAAAATAAAGATAGATTTGACAACTCATATGCACATTTAAGTAGTCAAGTGTATTTAGATCAAGTGTACAATGTTTATTAATATGTCCAGCAAAAATTCCTTCATTCCAAAGTAGTAACAGTGGATACAACCAGCTTATAACAGAGCATACAGGTTTATAGTGAACTTTCATTAGTATACTCCAGTTTTACTTCTGTGTGTATGTAAGAGCTGCAAAATGTGACAATCAGATGCATATAGCAGCGACTAAACTACTCTATACTATGTCACTGTTGTTGTTGCTAGTCGCAAAGTCATGTCCAACCCATCGCAACTTCATGGACAACATTGCTCCAGGCCTTCCTGTCCTCCACCCCCCGGAGTTCACCTAAGCTCATGCCAACTGCTTCAATGACTCCATCCAGCCACCTCATTCTCTGCCATACCCTTCTTCTTTTGCCGTCAATTGTTCCCAGCATTAGGCTCTTCTCCAGTGAGATACTCCATTGCAGCAACTGAGATTTCTTCCCTTAGTTAAGTGGGGGCAGAGCTATTCTATCCTTTTGTTCAGATTTTCTAGTTCTAATGGGCATGAAAGGCCATCAGATGTAGGTGAATTGCCCTGCTGTGGCAAAGAAAGTATAATTATGTACCTGCAGCAGGGGGTTTCAACTGCTGCAATGAGCAGCCATAAGTGTTTGTTGTTGAACTAGTGTTCAAGTTGGATCTACATCTTGATAAGCAGTTGTGGTGCTCGTAAAGTTATTTTTCTGCCCAAAGGCAGGAGTGGAACTGGGCAAGGTAAAATAACAGCATGGAAGCATTTTAGATTTTTTTTTTTTTTTGGTACAGATTGAAAGTAGCAAGGCAGGGATTACAAGTAAGGATCCCACTTCTAAGAACCCATATGTCAGAAATAAATGGCTCATCTGTTTGCATCATTGCTGATGCCTATGCGTTCAGGTGGACTGACCATGCCCTATATCCCTAAGCCCCATGTTGGATCTTTTAAAAATTACATTTTATACCACCCAATAGCTGAAGCTCTTTGAGCTGTAAAGAAAGCTCACCTTTCATGTGAAAGCAGACAGCCCAGCCCCATTTACTTCTTAACTAAAGATTCTTAACTAAAGATTCCACCAGATGTAAATGAAAGCAGCAACTGTAACACAGGAAGCAGACTCTGTAGGTGTTGTGGAAGAGAACACCCTCAGAAAGGCATAGCTCTTGTAATCAATGAAGCAGCCTGAGTCAGTAGTTATAGGGAGGTAAAATTCCTTTCCAGCCTCACCAAGTGGCAACTAACCTAGTTTATAGCAATGTACAGCATTGCTTAAAATGGCAGAATACATTGAGAACACATGTCAAGAGGGCAGGTGGGTGGCAAGGTGAATAATACTTGGGCCAGGTCTGCAGCCATCCTATTTAAATGCAGAATGTGGACCCGAAAGGAGAAGGTCCCCCTCCAGTCTGCTTCAGCAAAGCAACACTCTTTCCCTAAGCCACAATCTGACTAAGAGGGGAATGAAGCCAGCCATACCAAGGCAAAGCAAAAATGGCCACTGCCTGCCAGCAGCCTGGAGCACAAAAGTCATTCTACCCCAATGCCAGTGCGTGGCACAAAGCAGATTCCCAAAGCAAGCATGAATGGGCATAGCTGGGCATTGTTGTTGCAGTCATTGGTATCATTGGGTATGTGCTGCAGTAGCAACTTTTTTATATTTCTCAAAAATGAATATACATTTAAAAGGTCAACATAGAAAGGGTGCAAGGAACAGAAGGGAAATTATATGAGTATTCTCTGATAAAGATCTTATCAATGGTATCATTCTATGATAAGAATTATGAATTAAATTTTGAAATACAATATGCAGAAGTGTTACATGAGGGAGTTCACAATTGTAAGGGAAAGCTTTTAAAAGTCCTACAAAGTTATGTTTTAAATTTAAGCTGTAGGTCAAAAATATTTCCCATATAAACAAAACCAGTTACAAACTATAAAATTACTAGCTGGAAGTATATATAAGTTTAAAAGACATATGTGGAACAAATACTACAAAAACAGAGTTAGGTAGTAGCTGATTTTACCACACTTTGGATGTTTAGTACTGCTACACATAGATCACTTGGAAACCCCGACTTGAATCCAAGATTTCAGCTGCAACAGAGGCTCTTCCTATAGCCCCTACATTACTTCCTCACACTGTTCAAGAGATTACCAAGAATTTATACAGTGACTGTATCAGAAATAATATATGGTTATTTTTACCACATAATGTTGCAAAATGTGCATTAACATTTAATTGGAACTACTGTAGATTTATGTAATTCCCTCCTATATAATTGGTCCAATAAGCAGAAATTCCCACCTTCATTTCTTGTAGCTGTAACATAATTGAACCACTCTTTCACACTTGCAACTCCATGTGGCGGGTTTTCATGACGCCTCCTTGTTATTTTAGTGATGGTTGCCATTGGACTTTCTAGGGCCCCACATGGTTTTGTCACCATAGTGTTGTGACCCAAATGGAAGTCTAGTGTTTGTACAACATAGGTAGAGTGCTCACTAGAACCTGGAAGAGTGAAATTGTTTAACATGGTTATTTGCCTGCTGACGTGTCTATTTATGTAACTTCAGTTAAAAGTGAAGTTGGAATCAATTATAAGTATACAGTAACTAGAGAGATAAACACAAATTACAGCAATTTTTTCCATTAAAATATGGTATCAGATACTGGATTTCTTTCAGTATTTTCCTTTGCTTGGGCATTGCAAACAGGCCTACTGTCACAGATATCAGAAATGGACCTGACCCTCACAGGATATTGGACTGCTACATCTGTCCCATAAAGTCAGGGTGCTTACCTGCAACTGTTTTTCTTTGAGTGGACATTTTTATATTCCCACATATGGGCCTTTCATCTGCATAGAGCCTGTTAGGAAGCTTGTGTATCTAAGCATTTGATTGGGCAGGAAGCCTTCCCCTTCCTGTTCCAGGACTGCACAGAAGGGGCTCCAGCCCATTCCCTCAGTTCTGGTGAGACTGTCATAGGTCCCAGAACTGAGAGAGGAATGTTCTGCCAACTCAGTCTGGCCCCTGTGCGCCCCTGGCAAGCAAGGGGACAATTTTCAGAGGGACAACACCAAGTGGGACTAGTAACCACTCAAAGAACAACAATTGCAGGTAAGCAACCTGACTTTCTTCTTTGGGGTCTTTGTGCATCACACATAGGGGTGACTAGCAAGCTCACCTCAGAAAGGATATAGGGATGCTGTTGTCATTATAGGACAGAGGAAACAACTGCTCTGGTGAAGCAAGTAGCCCTTGTGTGGATGTCTGTCCTGTAGTGCTTGATGAACATCAAGGACATGGACCATGTGGCAGCCCTGCAGACTTCTTGCAGAGGGATCCCTGAAAGGATTGTGGATGTGGCCATTGCTCAGGTGGAGTGAACCCTTGGAAGAGCTGTGAATTGGCCAGCTATCTTCTATGCCAAGGAGATGGTACTTGTGATCCAGTTCAGCAGTCTGTGGGTGGAGAGTGGGTCTCCTTTGTTCTGCCCACCATAGCAGACAAAGAGTCTTGGTGAGCAGCAGAAGAATTCTGTCCTGGAGCAGAGCCCCCCTAGCAAGTGCAGGATGAATTCCATCAGGTTGGTAGAAACAATGAAGAAGGTTGGGATGATGATGTCCTGATTGAGCTGGAATGCTGACACTGCCTTGTCTCTGTGGAAGGTACGATACGGAGGGTCAACCTAGAGCTGACCCAGCTGATGTGATGGCCACTAGAAAGGCGATCTTCCAGGAGAGGAAGCAGAGGTCAGTTCAAAAGTTCTAGGTCAGGGCCTACAGCATGACCAAGAGGCTCCATGCTGAGCAGATGCAGGAGCAGATGATCGGAGTCAAGTTCTGGAGGTCCTTTAGGAACTGGCAGGATGAAGCATTTGAGAAGACTGGGGTTCCCTTTGTTGGTGGGTGGAAGGAGGAGATTACAGCCGGTTATACCGATGAAGGAAGGTTTAATTCCTTTCTAGAAGACCATCTGTAGGAAGCAAACAATGTGCTTGACAGTGGTGCTTTGTGAATTTCTGTTCACAGTATATTTTAATTTATTTAAATGTATATTTCTGAAATTCTTCATTTTGTTTTTTATGCACATTTATTTGATGAATTTGTCCTGGCCTTTGGCTAGTACAATAAACTTTTGAGATAAAAGTATTTTTTTTAAATTAACAATTGATGCCTCTGAGGTTTAAGATCAGTCAGAGTCCCCTGTACCACTTCAATACCATGATAGAAGCCTTGGGTGAGGTCTGAATGATGGATTCTATGGCCTCTTTGAAAAGTAATGAGTCAATATCTGACATCAGAGCCATGGCTGTGGATTTTATGGTATCAAGTGGTGGGAAGGTGTTGATTTCTATCTGCTATCCTGTCTCCATGATGAGTAGAACCCATGAGTCAGTTGTTAATCACTTCCCATATAGGGAGGAATCTGGAGAAACGTTTGATGTTTGTGGTGGTTGTGGGGGGGACGACAGGTATGGTCAGTCAATGGCAGTGCTTGTCCCCTTCTGGGCATCTGTGCACCTGTCTGAAGCAGACATTAGTGTCCCACCTTCTGGACTAGGTGACTGGTTGGAGCCTAACAGGATGCTTGGTACAGGACCTTCAGTGTAACTGGACGAAGGAGCCCTTGAACCACCTACATGGCTTGATTGCTGGATGCTGGAACCACATCCGCTGCACTGTTGACCTTCTGGAGTCAGTCCATTCTTTCACCAGTCTGTGCATTAAACATTGATTGGGAGGTTCTTGACATGGGAGAGGGGTTCTTGAGGTAGTCCTGCAGAGCACAGCAGGCACGCCTACAGATGACCATGGCACCTATCATGACCTTGGTGTCACTGTCTATGTGATGCTGTGCTGCAGCAATCTCTTCATGGGTGAGCTTGGAGGCCTCTGTCTGAAATACTCAGGCAAAATCACAGTAGTATTCAGGGAGATGCTCACACATGGACCTGACCTTGTTTCAAAGGAACAGTTGGTATTGGGCCATGGTGGCCTTGTGGTTGGCGACCCTGAGACTGAGTGCCAAGGCTGTATAAACCTGCCCTGCCAATCCATCTAGGCGGTGGCCCTCCCAGTCTATGGGTATGGAGTGTTCACTCTGGGATCAGCCTTGAGTGGACTCCACAATGATACAGTTTGGTTTGCAGTGCTAGAAGAGGAAAGGGATGTCCTTCTTCAGCATCATGTACATGGACTCAAGTCTTCCATTTGCAGAGTGTGTCACATTTGCCAGACTGTCTGCAGTAGAAACAAGAATGGGATTACCACTGATACTGAGTCCTTGAAGTGCAGGGCATCAAATACCAGGTCTGTAACCTAGCCCTGTGCCTGCTCCATCTCAAGGCGGAAGGAAGTCACCATTCACATGACTTCCTCTGAGAACTGGCCCATCTTCTCCAAGGGTGATGCTGGGTCTTGCAATGTGATGCAATGGCGACATCAGGTGAAGAGGCAGACAGAGCCAGTGATGGTACTGAATTGGATGTAGTCCTCTGGGTTAGATGATGGAGATGAAGTCCTTGGTTTAAGCACTTTGGCAATGTCGGCATTGGAGATCACAGCTGCCTTGGTACTGAGGCATTGTACCAGTGTCTCTGAGAGAGGTGCCTTGGTGGCAATGAAACAGTACCTGATAGCCTCTCAGGTCAAGGATCTCAGTTGTGTCTGTGGGATGGTTGAGGGCCCTCCTGGAACTGGTATGGAGGCAATCACCAGTTGGAGGCTAGATTCCAATCAATAAGGGGAGAGTGGGATCTTTTTCAGTGTCCCTCTGCTTCTTAGAGCGGTATCAGCCCTGGCAAGGTATGGGCTGATCACCTCAGTGTCAAGCTAGACTGTGATTGTGGTGGTATTGGTTCCAGCAGGGAATGAATGGAATGCCTTGACATTGGTGCCTGGGACACTGGGGCCTGGATTGGGGCCTGGCAGGAGACTCCCTTTTCTCCTCTGGTACCAGTGTGGTACAGACCATGTCCTCCCTTAATATTGAAGACCACAACCATACTGAGGATGGTAACAAGCTCTCCCTCAACATCCAGGGTAGACAGGGGCTCTGGCAGCGCCTTCATTTTTCCTTGATGGTGGCAGCCATCTTTCTGGCTACTTGGCCTCTTTCCAGGCTATGTAGCTGCCAGATGAGCAGCTTGGGCCAGGTTGATGTTGTGGCCCTGGTGGGTGGATGATCTCACCCCTTACACCTTGTGACATCAGCAGCTTGCAAGGCCTTCTTCCAGAGGCTGGCTTTCAGTCGAGCCATGTAGTATTTGCAGGTATGTTTTGTGAAGGCCTGGCAGTGGACCCAGACATCAACAATGTGTTCCTTATCCAGGCAGATTCATCAGAGGCAGTGACCATTTATTTATTTATTTAAACAACTTATATGCCACCCCATCGCATGAGGCGAGGGAGTCTGCTGTCTCAGCAGATGCATTTTTGCAAAGAAGCCACCAATGCCATCATGGTAGATGGGGAAGGCAGAAAAGAACAGCAGGCAAGGATGGGAACATGATGGGAGGGTAAAGAGAAAGTGGGTAGGAAATATGTATTTTTGTAGATTTTTCAAAAGAAAGCGTAAAGAAAGGACAATTCTTGAGAAGAATGTTGATTTTAAAAAATGAATGAACAAGAAAAAGGGAATTAAGAATGCTGGAATACCCAAGTTCAGGGCAAGAAGCACTTCCTAATCTAGATGCAATAGCAGTAGAAAAGGAACTGAGGGAATAGGTGGGAGCCCCTCTTGTGTAATCCTGGAACAAGAAGGGGAGGGGCTCCTGCCCAATCAATAAAAACTTCCCAATGACAGGCCCCCCATAGGAGCAAAGCCCATACAGGTGATACACATTGACCATGAAGAACTGGAGTTTTATCTATGTTCTCATTTACATGATTGATTGATAACCTGCCCATCTACCAAACAATGGCACTTAAGGCTTCTGTGCACAGTGATCTGTATAGAACTACTTATGAGCTGAGTGGTCTCCTGATTCCATGGCAGTTAGGCTGTTGCCCAAAATATCAACCTAAAGGCAGGATGTGAAGTTGCTGTCCGAAACCCTGTATTAATATGTACACAGAATCAATACTAAGTCTGATACAGAGTCCGTACTTTAGCATAGGAGAAAATATGAAAAAAATCTTCTCTTAAATAGACGTCACTTTCAATTTAAAAGGGGAAAACATTTGTATAAAATTTGATTCACAAAAGTGTGGATACCTTCTTGCCAGATTTTTTGTGCTTCTGTCCAAAAGGCAATGTTAGGTTCTTCAAGATGAAACAGAGCCCATGACTTTGAACGGAAATTAGGTCCATGGAAGCATGCCAATGTCATGTGATTTCCGTGCAAGCTCATAGAGCCTCCAAACTGCATCCCATCTTCTGGTAAAGGAATCTGAAATAAGGATATGTGGCACCCGGAAACCACTTTTAAAACCCCTGGCCAGTGGCGATGATGTGCTGCATCCAGTACTAGAAAAGAAAGCACACAGAGCAGGAATGGAAAAGACAAAGGCATTACAATGAACAATCAAAACAATATATTTTGTATGCGGGTAGTCTAGAAATATGAATAGGCATTTCATTAACGTAGTATATTCCAGTATTCTGAACTCTTGGAGGTACATTTATAAGACAGGGATGAACACAAATGGCAAGAACTACTTTTTGCAACTTTTTTTAAAAGAAGCTTAGATTACACCTGTGTGGGTGGGGGTGTGTGTGGCTGGGTGGGTAGTGTGGGTGGAGAGAGGGAGGGAGAGAGGGAGGGAGACTCTTCATTGTATTTGGATAAAGTAGTGTGTGAAAAAGTGAACGGTATGCAGAGTTGTAAAATGCTTGATCATCTTTTATGATTTACACTGTTGATACAAGCATGGATTAGTGTTTATAGGTACTTGGCCTTTCAAACAGCTTCCGTTTGGGTTACAGAAAATGAGTCTTCACATCAAAGAATATACACCTTAAAGTTCTTGTGGTTTTTCACAGCAGAATACATTCATTTTTTAAACATACACTTAAAAATAGAGATGTTGCTGCGGTGCACATTTCCGGACTCAGTGATACATGCTTTACAAGCTCATGGTGCTCACCAGAAATACATGGTGAACATTGCAACCTATGCATTCTTCATCTCGTATCATAATCCAAGTCAGAGCAGAATCCCATTCCTTACCCCACCTTCCTGGATAATCCCTAAACAGGATATTAATGATTCTTCATAAAACTACAGTTGCCAGGCGCTGCTTCCATCTGCTGTGCTGTTATGCAGGAAGCCACTGGGAAATGCAGTTTATCAATACCTACTAGTATCAGAGGGAAAAAAAGCTCCCTCCCTCTTTCTATCACAGAATCAACAACAGCAAAATTGAGTGAGAGAGAACTTGTAGGTCTGGCGGAGCATGTGGGTTTGGAGCCTTTGTTGGTGGATAGCACAGAAACATGCTATGCTATCACCTGGGTTTTTAAAAGAGAGAGAGAGAGAGAGTTTCCCTCAATTTGTTCCCAGCCAATCTAAGTCAAGCTGGGGAAGATCTCATCCTTTAAAAAAAATGTAAATTGTAAAATTAACATCCCTAGTTAAATGTTCAATGGGTCTATGGTAAAAAAATTGTTCAAGAGCATACCTCAGACAGAAATACAACACTGTAAGAGCTATTCTAAATTACTTTAATACATACATTGTTGATGTGAGCTTTTTTCTACAGTATTGACCACAGTCTTTGGAGGAAGATAAGGAACAGGTCCCCATGTGGACAAAGCTCTCTTGCTGGTATCAAACTGCTGAGTAAAGAATTCCTGAAGCTTCATTCCTATTTTGATGAGGTCTGGCGTGGTAGATCTTGAAATCATAACTTGAAAAATATCCCACTTCAAATCACCATGGACAAATATCTCACTGGAACACAAGCATGATTAAAATACTGTATTAATTCAAATTGATTTACTTGGTTCTGAAGACAGTTGGATGGTATAAATTGATGTCCGGCAACAGTATGGGGTTGGACCCAATGGCCTTCATGGCCCTCTCCAATTCCACTATTCTACGATTCTGTGACAGGCTAGTTAACATATAACAATTACCAGTCCAGTAGAAATACCTGAACAGTAGCTCAAGCAAGCAACTTTTAAATACGTCTTTGACTGAAATCTTATTGACAGAAATATACAGTGTTACATAAACAAGAAACTTCACCTTTTATCCGTAATGCTGGGATCCAAAGTATTGCAGAGGTTAACTTTCCATTCATCCTGTAGCTTAAGGTCTGCATTACTGAAAATGCCCATTAAGATACTGGATCCCATGTAATCAACACGTGCTTCAGTAGATCCCATTGTAATCTGAATTTTGTGACTTGGCTGCTGATTGGGATGTTCTGAAATATGAGCTGAAAAAAACAATTATTCATGTACCAGCTTAGCAGCAAAGGGAGCAAAATCAGTAATACTACTTTTACTGATTACTTTTTACCAGCATCCAGGGGCATGCAAAATGAAAGATGTTAAAGAAGCTTGCAAGCAAGTCCTAAACTCAAATTTAGTAAACTGATTTTACTGTTATTGCCCTTTTGTAATTGCGCATTGTCATGTATTGTATTGTTTTATGCTGTTTACGGATTTTAACATAATGTAAACTGCCCAAAGAGCCTATGTTTAGGGTGGCAGCATATAAATCTAATAAATAAGCCATCTTGAGACCTGCTGGTATAGAAGTGTTATAAATGTTTTAAATAAATAAATAAATATTACAAACTACTACAATAAGTCACTCCTGTGTTTTATAATGACTGGTTTATTGCCCTATTCACACACTACCCCATATTACCTTTGTGTAAATGCAAACAGAAATTATATCTGGCCTGCTGCTCACCAATGACTGTCCCATATGCAAACCCAATCCATGATATCACCCTAGCACATTTCATTGTGAATTGCAATGTCTTGAATATGGGCTTACTGCTGTCAGGAAGGAGATCACCTGCTCTAATCTGATTTTTGTCCCTCTTCCCGCCATTTTCTGAGGTCATTAGGCTAGTGGGCATCTTGCAGTATGTGGACTGAGTTCCCTGAGACATACGCTTTACATGAAATTTTGACTGGCACATATGCATTGCAGCATTCCTTGGTACTGATTATGCCAGCTGATTTGTGAGATCTATGTGAACTTTGTGGATAATTGGTCCTGCTTCTTAAATATTCCAGTTTGGGGATTCTGGGATTCCAGTTCTGGGACCAATGAGCCACATTCAAATAGAAGTACCACATTCTCTAAAAGCTGCCCAGCAATAATGGAACAGTTTCGCCAGGGGTTTTCCAAACGTATGAGTCGTTTTCTGAAGAACTCTGAAGACTCTCTAAAGTCTTTCATTTAGAATAGCATTTGAGTTCAAGGACTAAACCTATATGGGTATAATTTAAAGAAATATATTTTTTCTAAAAATTCTGAATTTTCCATCTTAAAATTCCCTTGGGAGAAGACGGATGGATGTGAAATACTATTGCTAAGCATTTCTATATCTCAAGTAATCAAAACATCTGTATTGCTTTATAATAATTTATACCTGAGTAATATTTCCTGGATAATTTTCACAACAGTCTGCAAAGCAGACTATTATTCTTATCTGCTCATCACTCTATGTGAAAGTAGCCATGATGCTTGTACTGAACATCCAGTGTATACCATAGTTAACAGCTAGTGTGCATATGCATTTGAATTTGCCCTATTTAAGCAGTAAAGTGTGCTCCTGAAATCAGTTACCAAGATTTGAATAGCCCTCCAGAAAACAGCTGAACAGAAGGAGCTCAAACTGGGCGTAATACAGTCAAAGTTATACATTTTAAGATCTGGTAACTTTAGTGAAAGAGATTTAAGAACATTAAATTTAAGTTTCACAGGACATCAGCTTCTTGATCATACCTTCTGTGTTTGTGACAATTTGCTGTGATTCTTGGAAAGGTGTATGGGAAAATAATTATAAATAAGTCAAAATGAATGTGTTCTTACTGTATCTGTGCAAATACTTGCCAACTTTCTGACTTACCCACCATCTCCAAGGCATTAACATCTATGGTACCTCCAACCACTCCTCCTCTAGAATCCAAATGGGACCGCCCAAGACCGACTGACATGCTGATTTCCCGATCCCTATTACTGCCCACAGATAAACGACCCTGGCTTTTCAAACCACTAGTAGTCCACCTAAAGTAGGCACAAAAGGAAAAATGTTATCTACCACATCTGCTTCTTTCATTTACTAAAACTCAAAGTTGCAAGACGCATTTAAAACTGTAAAAGTAGCAAGGCATGTACTTTTTTAAAAATATTGCATTGTATTTATATCCTGCCTTTTTCCTCTTGTGAGGAACCCAAGGTGGGTTCTATAGCTCCATTTTATCCTCACAACAGCCCCAGATTACAATGAGATGAGTGACTGGCCCAATGTCACCCAGAGAGCTTCATGGCCAAGTGGGGACTGGAACCTGGATCTGCCAGGTCCCCAGTCCAACATTCTAACTGTTCTCCATGATTAGTAGCCACTAAAGTATAGATGTTGGTTTGTTTTTTTTATATTTGGACAAAACAAGGAAAGAATAGTTAAGTGACAAGCTCCCAGTTTTAGACAGGTAAAAGACTTCTTGCTTTAGATAGTTTGTTAAGAGAAGCACCTAAGTCTTTCTTATAGGAGCTGCTGGAAGGAAAGGACCCCATCACCACCACACATGCAGATTTCTTTAGATTATAGAGATCAGAAATCAAAGATAAATTAAATCACGAGATCTACTTACGTAGTGTTTCCCATTACATTACTCATGTTCATTTGGACATTTAGTTGCTTCAAATTCATAGCAAATACAACCAGTGTTTCCCATGGTGTCACCTGCTGACTTCCAGCCTTGTTTGATTTATTAAATGGAGTTGATGTTTTTGAGAGTATATCTAGAAATAAATATTTATTAGGCTTTATAAATGTAATAAAAATAAGAATTATGGAATATGTTAACCAACTCTATAGATTTTTCTGGATAGTGCTTCAGTGTGATGGTGGTAATTCCACATAGAGATGTCTACTTTTGAAAACTACTCATCATTAATAAGGTGGTACCCTGATGAGAGCAATCTCCACATGAACTCCAGTAATTGTCAAAGCACAGGACAGAAACATGGAAATGTGCCACATGACTGAACCAATCTATGTCATTTGCTTATAACCCAAGAGAAATTTCTAATATCCATGCTGACATGGTGGTTGCTGCAGCTGAATAATCTCTTTTTCATAATAAAAACTATGTTATAAACCTGAATGATATAACCCAGGATCAAAAGATGATGTATATAAATGCAAGCATGGATTCTGTGTGCAATCAAGGCTTTCTCTGGAATTTTCTCCTAGAATTTCAGTAGCTGAATGAGTGAAATAATTCTGAAACTGAAAGGCAGTTAGAATTACTGCAGGAACAAATCTGTAAGAAAATTTTAACTTATTCCTATGGGTACATGGCATGACTGTCAGGTTGAATTTATATGAACTTATATTTACTGAGAGGGTACCAACTGGCACCATTTCACTTTATTTGATAAATGCCAAATAAATCTTCAAAATATCAGTATGTGCCTATATGCATGCTACAGGGTTTTTATTTATGGGCCTCTTTTTAAAAGCCAGTATCAACTTATTATTATTCCTTTCAAAAATATTCTAATGTTAAATTCTATAGGACTTTATTTTTCCCTGCTGCATCCACATGCCCCTCCAACCCTCTGAAGCAGATTTGGATAGCATGTGCAGGGATGTTGACAAGAAAGGGAATCTGTTCTGCCAGTGATAGCAATGCCTTTGACACAGTTGGATATTTCACACCATCATTGCAGCTGCCAAAAACATCTGATTGGTGTATTTAAAACATGGGAATTCTCCTACTATGAGTTCTTGTATCAAATGAGGTTCTTTCCTCTTAGGTCTACATACCTAGGATTAGAGATTAAGTTGCTCTTCAGGCTTCTCTATAAACCAGAAGAATGCTGAGTGTATTACAAAGCTAGAATAAATGCTTTCCCCTTCCTTTTACTTCAGTGACCATCTTTATCATTGTCATCATAGTCCAATAAATAACTTCTGTCCTTCAATAATTGTTAAATATGTTACATGAATGTACACAGCAACATATGACTGTAAATTATTCTTACCTCTTTGTGGAACAGAGGAGTCTGACACACTCCGGGATCTAGAAACAGCAGGCGATTTTAGGTTATGAGCTGCTGTTCCAGGTGACATATTGCTACTAGTGTTATGCTCATTGAAAACGTTAGGTGATTGAGCCATGTGTGTAAACGAAGCAGACTGGCTTGGCTGTTCCCAGGTTCTACAGTATGCTTTTCGTGATGATTCAGGAGACAGGTGCTGGTTCACCCCTTCAATAGAATCCGGTGTTCCAGGGCCAGATGCTACTGGGAAAAAGATAAAAAGTATGTTGCCATTCTGTGTGGTTAATATATCGGAGAAATAGCATTACTATTGAAGCATACATTTCTCCAGTTTGATCCTATTTTTAATTAGCAGCACACCCTTTATTAATAGGTAAGATATAGCAATTATTAATTAGGAAGAGTTCACAAACACTTCAAATTCAAAGTTATATAGGTAGATGCGAATGTCATAAGCACACCCTTCATTGCCTTCTATTACACTACTTGTGCCCACCATAGTCCTTCCCTACTCCCACCCCTCAAAACATCATTTTCCCCAGTGTCGACCAATAAATATAGTTCAACTAGAATTATACAAAATAAGAAGTTAGTACCTGGCAAATTTATTGTTTGGTCGCCTAAAAAGAGGCGTCTTGCAATACTCCTCCTGTACCAGGCTCTTGGAAAAGCTAAAATCTCACTTAGTCTTCTCATGTCATATTTAAAAGAAGCAGATCCTATATCACAAACAGCTAATAAAAAGTAAAACATCACTGTGAAAAGAGCTTATATTTTACGTTTCACATTAGCAATTTTACTGCATCCAACATAGTTGTACACACACAGAAAAGCAACATTTTACAGATGATATAACAAAATTTTTAGAAGCTGAAACAAACAGATCATACTTTAGATTACATCACATAATTCATTTCAGCACTAGTGCATTTCCAGCCATTCTCCAGCTGTTGTTCAACTACAACACCCATTGGACCTAGCCAACACAATTAAGGCTGAGGAATGATGGCAGTCATAATCCAATAACATCTATACGGTCATAAATTGCTAATCCCTGAATTAGGGACTATAAAACATTTCACTAATGGCAGAAATTTTCCTAACCTTCCCTCCATAGTGCTTCAGAGGGTTTCCAACCCTTTCTTTTTAGAATTTGTCCCCAGTGGCTATTGCCACAATTTTGGTAACCTCAAAAGAGGATATTGTGCAGTCAGAAAAGGTATAGAAAAGGCAACAAAAATTATCAGAGGCTCAAAGTACCATTTCCATATAAAAACTAAAATCTATTTTTCCTCCCTCATAATACTAAAATGAAACCCAATTCAATTAATTATATTAGCTTCACAGCAGACAAAAAATGCTCTTCTACATTCAGTGATTTATGGTGCTGATCATGGGCTTTCAAATGGGAATAGACAAACATATGAAGAACATGTCTATCAATCTTTTGCCATGACAGCTAAATGGAACCTGAAGATAGCCTCTACATACTAATGGCTTGGTGACAATGGGGGAAAAGGTATCAAATAGTTGTTGTTGTTAGTCGCGAAGTCGTGTCCAACCCATCGCGACCCCATAGACAACACTCCTCCAGGCCTTCCTGTCCTCCACCATCTCCCGGAGTCCACCTAAGCTCACACCAACTGCCTCACTGACTCCATCTAGCCACCTCATCCTCTGCCATCCCCTTCTTTTTTTGCCATCTATTGTTTCCAGCATTAGACTCTTCTCCAGGGAGTCCTTCCTTCTCATTAGGTGGCCAAAGTATTTGAGTTTCATCTTCAGTATCTGGCCAAGCTATTGTCTTCATGCCCTGCAATAGGTTTTCAGACAGTAAACTTATGCTGGGCTATTTGTAGCCTTAGTTTGATCCAGATGAATATTTTAAATTAATATATGATAGAGGAGAAAATATGTAAAGGCAGGTCTTCAGTCAGAGTAATCTTAGAGTGAAGGCCACTGTCTTTTTTTGGGACTATAAAACACCTGGAGCAGAAGCCAGGAGTTTCAGGGTGAAACCTCTCTATAGCTCCATTTTGGAACAGAAGATCTCTTGAAGGAGGGGCCAGGAAAGAGTGATCCTTTTAACAATACTGGGTGGAGGGAAGTTTTCAAACTCATTACAATATGCATGGTGGATGATGGAAAGAACCCATGACTCTCAGGTGATGGCAGCCCAACAGTGGAAGTAGGGCTGGAGGCAGCGATTGAAGGAAAGCTTAGAGGAGGGAACAAGCTGGAGAAGGAGTCACAGGTGTCTCCTTGATTCTTCCTGATGTCCATGGGTTTGGTGAGGATGTGTTATGGGGTCAGGATGCCTATCTTGGGAGGTAGGTTGGTGTCTGAATGTGCTGTTGTGTGGAAGTGAGCCTGGTAAGTGTACAGAACTTGCTGCCATTTATGGGACCTATATGGTCTGGTGGGAGGTGCTTGATTTGAGTCCCATTCACCAGCAGTGTTTCTTGATTTTTGGACAGAGTCCATATGGCATCAGTGTTCCTTCATGGAACAGACCAGCACTATTGAAGGGCATGTCTTCAATCCTTGTCTTTGCTTCCATGAAGAGACCAGAGGACCAGAGCCGTGAGAAGCAGTGAAAATCTATATCCCCTGCCATGTTCCTGGCAGCACACACTGCCTGGTGTGAATTTCATGCCGTGCAAGGTGTGTAGCCTAAGTTTTGATTTCATTAGCTATATCCTAGGGAGGGATGAGCACAGTGAAGTCACCTTGTCCCAAAGCATTAGATGGTACCTGGCTATTGTTGGCTGGTAGTTGGCCATCTTAATGGACAATGCAGCAGAGGAGTAGAATCAGTGGCCAACTGCATTGAGGCATCTTACTTCTCTATCATCTAGGATAGACTGTTCTCTCCCAGAAGGAACTTGAGAGGCTTCAGCTATGATTGACTTTGGTTAGGTGCTGAAAAAGGAATTCCCCATCTTTTTCTTGTACCCTGTACATATTTTCAAGTCTATGCGGAGGGGGAGACTTCCACTCCTGATATACTGCATCAAGTAGGGTAGGTAGGAAGGGTATGGTGGCTGGTGCTATAGCTTTGGCATAGTCCACTTCAAGGACTGAATCTTTTGCCCTGCCTGGATCCTGATATGGGCTGAAGCTGAGACTATGGACCATGTGGAAGACTTGAGTGGAGAAGAGGCCAGAGTCCTCTGAAGTACAAGGCAGATCACAGGGTGACTCATATGGAGTGGTAGGTTCTTCTGACTGCCAGTCTGTGGAAGTCGTTTCTGAGGTTGAAGTATATGGTTCCAGGCCGGACTCAGTAGCCTCAGTGAATGCTGTGCAATGGTGATGTGATGATTTAGTATAAGAATACTAGGTCTCTAGCATCCCTGTCTGATGGCAGAGGTTGTGTCGGCATAATTGGATTGGTTTGAGTAGATAACCAATCAGACCCTACAGGACTCCAGCATGGCAAGCCTTGTCTGGAATCAAGGGAAGCCCAGTGCTCTTTATAAGGACAGGCTTTAAGCTTGCACCAACATAGTGTAGTCAGCCAACGGGATCTGTGGTCCCTATCAGCAATAGGGGAGCAAGACCTACGTCCGTGTCTTTCAAATTCAGCAGCAATACATATGCTTGGAATTGAGGATAGTGGAAAATTGGGCCTCTGAGCAGAGATAACACCTGATTGCTCTATTACAGGACAGGAGAGCTCTCATATCTCTTCTTCCACAAAAGAGGTACTTGGAGGTTCTTGGAGCTGGATGTAGTGGCCAAGCTGAAGGCTCCTGTGCCAGTCCTAATGCCAGAGAGGAGCATTGGATTAATTCCTGTCTAGGTGTTGTGTCTTCAATACATGGGAGGCCTGAGGGAGGTGGCATGTCACAGCACTTCTTTGAGTTTTCCACCATCTCAGTATTTATAAAGACTGGGCTTTTCCCGAGGTTTGGTCTTTTTTTGATGACATTTTGAATTTGTCCATTTTGGAGCATTTTTCTGGAGGAGCAGAGGAGGGCTCCGCTGAGGGACTGGAGAGTGTGTCTTCCAAAGTGGACGGTTTTCTGTGTGAATGGAGCAGCTCCACAGTTCCACTTTTAGGCAGCCTGCCCAGTAAGTTTCCTCACCTGATCTGTACATGCTTGGCAGTGGAAACATGAGCCAATAATGTGGGTCTCTCCAAGGCAAAAAAGGCATAGGGAGTGTGCATCTGTAGGTGGCAGTTTGCTGCCACAGTCAGTGCAGTTGTAGAATGGCAATTTAAGTTCCATTTTCTTGAGTGGGAAAAGGAGGTTAGGACACCAATTGAAAGGTGAGAAAAGTAGGCAGAAAGTAATACATTTATATTATCTCTTTTTTGTAGTAGAGAAGGAGAAAAACATGAGGAAAGGAAAAAAACTTTCATTTTTTTTCCTTTCTAGAGGTCTGAAGA